GAGACTTGCTGTAAATTTGTGTTATTCAGTCAGACGCGATTGCTTTAATTTTCACCCAATGTATTACGAGGTATCCAGCAACTGATCTCTGCTGTGTGTTTCAGTAATTGATTCAGTAATGTCAACAAATTGCAAAGTCTCACACCAAATCTTGCAATGGTGATAATTGTTGATAACGCAGGTGTAACATTTGAATACACTCGTTCACTCACACGCAATACTTCAGGGGATGGAGAATATATGACTGGGTCCCCATAAACCTATCGTTCTAGCTGGATCGATCTAACTCCGAGGGGATTCTCGTTAAATTACATTCAGTTTCAGCGGCTTTAATGTCTGCCACGCCCACTGAAGTTGCTAATGGGAATTAACTTTCGTGCACACTTAAACTAAATACAATTTAGCGAGAATCCCTTCGGAGATAGATCCATCCTGCTAGTACGATAGGGTTATGGGAATGGTCCCTATAACTCATAGTTCAAATGCTGGAACTTACGTGGTGAAATTCAACGCCAAGCCAACGTTGCGGATCACCCTGGCACATTTTATTAAGTGATAAGCAGGTCACCTCCTTCGGCGCCATGTGACTAGAAATCGCCTCCAGTGCCTCTTTGTTGAATTTTATCAAATGAGTTCCAGAAATTGATAAGCATACTAACAGTATTGCTAGGGTTTATTATCATCCAGATACCGAATATGCATATAATTATTATAATTATGCATCCACTTTTTTTTGGTTTAAAAAAATCTCCTTGAAATATATAAAATTTCTGCGTTTATATTTCTCGTTGCTATTTTAAGCATATGTCACTCAAAACTTTTATCATTAATTTAATACTTTCTATTTTGAGGTGAGATAGCAATCAGTATGGGGCGTGACTTCATCCCTGAACGAGATTTTATCACGAAAATTGGCATAGTTTACCGCAAGTGTATGGGCTGCAATCTCTTGCCGTCATTTCGGTTTTTTATGAGTTATGAGACCCAAATCACAGATTTTCACTAAACAAATGCATTATTTTTCTTTATCAACGATAAAATCTGCACTTAGGCTTTTTAAGAGTACTAAATAGTGTCATTAAATCGGCGTTGAAACGGTGAACGTGGGTGCTCGGTAAAGGAGAAATCTGAGAAACCGATTTTTCCATTTTTACACTTAAATCGCAATTATAGCGTCACTTGTAAGATGACATGTGTGCAAATGTTAATCAATTTAGTCACTGGACACTTAAGATTTAACTGTTATCCAAAGAAAAATGTATGTTAGGCAGTAAATAAGGAGTTTTTGGCAAACGCTTGCAGTATCCTTAATATATTTACATGTATATTTTCTTTATTTTAATTCTACTGGATGACTAAGAACATTCAAACACCATGGGATATTGGTCGTGAAATCTTAACGATTTTCCTGCAAAGGAATTGATATATTGACACCATGTTATTGCTTTAAATAAAGATGCATCTTCCATTCTCTGTCTAATCGCTTACCCTACAGTGTATCTGCCAGTTGGGCATAATTAGTTTCTGGTCTTCCATTATCGGTTCAAATCATCTTCAAGCGCAATTTATTTGATCTAAACCCTTTCTAACTAAATTTAATCGCTAATTGACTAAAAATCTCGTTGACTATGAATAATCAGAAGCGTTAATAGCTTACTTCTCTATTGAAGGTCATCGTTTAATAGAGATTAATGTAAAAGACTGCCGCTAATGAAAATTCAATGACTGAAAAACATTTCTTATCCCACTGCTGTTCTTCAATCAGACCGTCAGTTTTATCGACCATTAAGGGCGGAGTTCCTGCAAAGAGGAACGCACTTAAGCACAAGAACTAAACAAACGTTTTAAAAAGATCTATTGAAAGATAACTCATTGCCTTACCTTTGTAGAAACCAACAGCTTCACGTTGTTTAATTTGAACCTTCTGTTGCACCCTGCGCGAGTTTGGTCTGTCTTCTAGCCCAGTCTCCAAGTCTACTGCTCTTGCCGACGCTTGAATCCTGCCAGAAACAGTAGTCCTTATTCGCAAATGATGGGTTATCGTTTATAAAAGCGTGCGATCGATTTTCAGCGATGCTGCGAGTTTATACCCTCTAGAACGGCGGATCGTTTTATGGGGGAATGATCAGATTTGCTCCTTGTCCCAGCACATCTCTAATTCACTTTCTGGAGCACCCCTTGCGAGGTGATAACCCCTTCACTAAATAAAGCTTTATTACGTTATATGGCCTTGGGAATTCGTGAGGAAAAAGGCAATTTCGGATTTGTGAGGCAGACTTGAATTCCAGATCTTTAGCGTAACAAACGTGAGATTAAAACGCCACGAGGAAAAAAAGATCATGGTAACCAAATGTCTCAGACCTGTGATAATAACGATGAGACCATTGACACTGAAAAGCTGTGTACCACTGCTATTGAAACATTCAGCCTTTGCGACAAAGAACTCAGAATAACCTACAACCATTGAAATGAAATAGACGGGTTGGTTAAGGCTTATTTGCACAGACTTTTGAAGAAGTGAGGAAGTGGATTTCAGTTTATCTTGAAAGATTTGCCAAAGTGTACATGCAAATAAATAAATAAATAAATAAATAAATAAATAAGGATAATACTGCATTAAAAAAGAAGAAAGAAACGAAAAAATGAAAAAAAAATGAATTTAAAAATCCAACTTTTCCTTTTATGTTTGAACCGAAACGACAAAAAGAGCATTTTCGGACATTGACCTTTTCTAAAGTTTACGATGTAGTATTTCAGAAAAAATATACTGGCTACACTTACTGGTTACACTCAGTTTACTCCTTTTCCATTTTTTTAAAAATGGTTTTAAAAATCATTTGCGAAGACATGCATAACGTCAAAGTTGACGATTTTTTGGGAGTGGGAGATAGGGACCTACTGCAAGGCCTACTGTTACCAATTTTCGGAAGATACTTTTGGCGTAGGCCTACGTGAAAAAAATTGCTGTGGAGACTAATTCCAATATTTTCACCCATCCAAAACATCACAATAAGCCTACAAAATGGTCGATACATATACAGTAAATATAAAAACATCATTTTATAAAGAACAACAGTTTTATTGAAATTACCCACTGACAGGGACGAATTTGAAATAAAACGGGCTTTTCTGGTATAGTACGTACGCACGCAGTACTTATCTTTATGAATCGCAATGGTTTGAAAATAAGTGACAAAACCTTTGGGTAGGCCAAGTCCATTTTCTGATATTTTTAAAGTTTAACACTTTAAAAAGATAAGTCAATAATTAACGTTAGGGTACATAAACGCACCCATACATGTACAGTGCGTGAAGCAAATCCATTTTATGAAATTAATGTAAAAGTACTTATCACATCTGATAAGACACACAAGGGTAATATGCTCCCCCCCCCCAAAAAAAAAAAATTATTTATATACGAATAAATAAATTAAGAAATGGAATGAAACGATATTTCTTGAAAGGTTCTCTTGAGCTCATTTCGCTCTTCATTATTGGAGGACGGAAAGGATCAAAACACAAAATTACCTGTCCGCCGGTGTAAAACGGCCACATTAATTGTGGGCTGGTTATTAGGCATTTAGCATTAGACTATTTATCTTTTCTTATATTTACATATTTGCTAGTGCATCTATTTTCACAGATGTTTTGAAAACCTTGATTTATTTTAGATTTTTTAAAAATTTGATTGCCACAGACAGTGCAGTACACAACATTGGTAGCTTGCATGGAGGAAGATGTCTAATTCCAAAGAGGGACTCAATGATTCTGCCACGGCCCCTGTGGGAAAGTGCGAAGGAATGTGCCCAGTGGATGAAATCAAACTGTGAGTATTTATATGGAAGTCGTCGTTTAGATAATATTGTGTACCCGATAAATAATGAACAAGTTTGATGAGGAGTTACAACTGGTACAGTAACAAAGCCTATCATGTGCCTGTATTTGACGATTATAATGATTTTATATGCCCTTTTGATCTTCACTGTTGTGTGTTGTGCAAAACTGCGGGAAGATATTGATCACAATCCCATGGTTTTTGATCAAAGCCCGACACCCCCTCCCCCCCCCCCCCCCCAAGTTGCTATATACTACTGAACTGTACTTGTATTAATCACTTGTTAGTATGCAAAATTGGAAGAACTTACAGGTAATTATGCAGAATGTATCATATTAGACAAACAAGCTGCTTTACTACCTCTCACTTTTTTGGATAACAGAGTAAACTTTTGAGGCATGAAACTTTCAACACTGTTTTGTTGAGTAGAAACAATGATTCTTACTTCTGTTTCCATTTAAGCCCCGTATATTTATTTTTTCCATTGTTCTGAATAAAATACTTATACCAGTACACAGTTCAAGGTTAGCATTTTTTGCAGCATGAAGTCCAAATATTTTGATATTTTAAAAAGTCTGTTTTGCGCTAATACAATGGCCATTTAGTCCAATATTGATTGGTTGTAATAAGCACCATTTTCAGGAGTTTTTTCATGAACTTTGTAGTTGCATTGAGGACCTTTTCTATGCCAGGCATTCATATATTATTCATAAATGAATGTCTAGACATTTAGACATTAGGACTGTAGTTGATGAATGAATAAATGTGTAGCCCTTTTTTAAAGGTACATACAAACCGAGCATCGGTGGAGCGTGGATTCCCAGTAACACATGTAAACCACTTCTACTAGATTCTTATATGACTCAAATAAATTTGACATGCCAAGGGATAANTTAAAGGTACATACAAACCGAGCATCGGTGGAGCGTGGATTCCCAGTAACACATGTAAACCACTTCTACTAGATTCTTATATGACTCAAATAAATTTGACATGCCAAGGGATAAACTGAATAGATCACTCGATCAGCCATAAAAGACCTTTAGACTGCTCCTTTCTTTAAATTTATGGTTGTAAATTTAACCTACTTCCGTGACCTACTTTCCTGCCCCATTGACATACAGCTTAGAATGCCAGCAGAAAAATTTGTTCAAACATCATTTTCGGGTAAAATTAAACAAGGCCTTTTTGTAATTCTCTTAGTTATACTACTTGAAACTATATGCTGGCATTTGGTTGGTTTTTGTGACAAAAAATTGACTTTGTATGCATCTTTAAACAAAATTTCATATTAATGTGGTAGTGTAGTTTTTTTTAAAGCAGTGAGCAAAATGTAGATGAGAGATATGGGAAACTTATGGAAAACAAAAAATTCACCCTAAATCAAGAGCAGGTCCAAGTATTTATGGCCTCATCAGTGTCTTAAGCTTTATGTCAGCGATTGAAACTGTGAACACATAAAATAAGATCAGAATGCTAGACAACAGACCAAAAAAAAAATTTTTTTTTCTAGACAAATTCCATAAAATGTGGAAAGTTAATTTAAAGTGATATTTGTAGAAAATTAATTTTTAACCTGCAGTTATTTTTTTTTGCAGAAGAGAATGTGAAGGATTGTTACATACTCTAGAAATAGCCCAAGGAACAGAGAAACTCAAAAGGTATGTATGCAAATTATTATTTTTATTTTAGAGTTTTTCATGCACTGCTAACTTTCTTTTCATTTTTTGCTGTTTTGAAAAGAAAAACAGTTAAGCTACCAGGAGACAGATGGTTTGATTAATTTGATATTATTAGTCTTTGTGTTCATATTTTATGATTTTACCCCCTGGAATATTCTTTATTGTCATCAACAACTCTTACAATGAAAATTTTAGGTTTTTAGTAAGTCTCTATTTGCCATTTTTAACTCTCAGTTTTATCATTTTTAAAATCTTTATTAATTGTAATATTTAGTTCTTAAATTGTAAGAGGCATTGACATTTTAAATGGAAGGCATCATGTAAAAATAAATTATCATGATGATTAAAATTAATAAAATTTTACCATTATATCAAGCAAATAACTATAATTGACAGTTCATCAAAGGAATACAGTACCTGCATGAGTAAGATTTTATGAGATTAATTGTTACTGTCAGCTATAATCATGATATTCTCAATATAGTGAGATAAAAAAAACTTCAGGGTGGGCAGGTAGCTGGGTGTGTGGAGGATTGTTCTGATCCCATATCTCAGTCCTGCCATGTCTCCCTAGCTATGCTTTAAGTATACCTATATATATATATATATCTTTATAGGCCTAAAGCAGATAAAGAGAAGATAGTGAAAATGTTCAGTCGCCCGGCTGCTGGGAGAAGTGACCCCAAACCAAAAGACTTGCGACCACCAGAAGTGTTACACAGAACTGTTATTTATCTAGTACAAAGGTAAAGGTTGCATGATGCACTGGTCAGCTTTATTTGAGATCTAGGTGTATGGAGACACATGCATTTTGAGAGGTCACTTGAAAGGATAGTTTTAAACAAAGAAAATCTGGCTGTTCAAGTTTTTTTTCTTTCTTTCTTTTTTTGCTGTCAGATATGTAGCCTTTTATACCTCCAAGCCAACCAAGCAGGTCTATTCGGCCATATAAATTGTACAGCAGATTTAGTCTTCTTCTCAGTCTTCTAACATTTTGCAAGGTGAGAACATAGCCACCACCAGTTCTATAAAGTCCATACTTTACTAGTAATTTTGTTCTAAATATCACTTCCAGTGTCCTTCCATCAAAACAGCTGCCATGGAATGAAGTGTATGATTTTGTATTTGACCGTTTCCGTGCTGTCCGTCAGGACATGGTTATTCAGAGGCTAATGGGGAAGCGTGCTGTAGACATATTAGAGATTATGGTCAGATTCCACATATATGCTGCATACAGGTGAGTTGCTATGGGTGCAGCAACTCAAACATGGGAATTGATTCTAATTGAATGCCTCCTGATTTTAGTGAAATTTTTTTTCTTGATATTTTAATATTTAATTTGATATTTAGTAAAATTTATTAAAATGTTAATGATAATAAGAAATGTCCTTTATTACTAGAATTTTAAAATCATTGCCTTGTTCAGCTTTACTAGATACTATTACAATATTAAGTTTATTTAATTATTCAAATATTTATGAACATCCCACAATATCTCTTACACATGTGTCATATACATAGTCACAAATCTGTTTGGCAAGAGCTTATGTTGAAGGATTTAGACTTTTTTACTCTCTGGGAATGATTATCCATTTAAGTTTTCCAGACATTTTAGGCATTTTCCCCAGAAATCAGCCCCAGAATATTTTAATGACATTAAACATTAAAATGTATTTGTAAATATTGGATTGAATTGGAAGATCTCATGACAGTCCACCAGTGAGTTAGGATCATTGATATCATTTTCCACTTCAGGCTGTGTGAAGAGTCTGTGTTCAACTTTGATAAGAGGATAAATGAGGAACATTGTCAGGAGTGTCTGAAAAGACTGCTGTATTTGTACACTACTCTGGACAGTTCCTTCTCCAACAGAGCAGAGATGGAAAGCTTGTACTTACTGTTCAACCTGGGCAATGCAGATGCAATTCGACATGCTCTTAATTTGCCAAAGTCACTAAGGTAAATCTAAACTTTTACCCCACCAACAGTAATTGCTAACCTAGCTCAAGTATCTATCTCAGTATTTTCTCAATTTATCGTGCCGCTCAGTCATCAAGGTGTTCCTGCTCAAGCAACACAGGGTGACTCCTGCTATCGCCACCAACACCAACCTATTATTGAACGAACAAATAATTTCTTCCTCTCCTTCCAAATAGTACTATAAAATTATATGTATAAATGGGCAGTTTGTTAGTGTGTGTCACAGCTATTGAAGGCTTCAGTGCATGCAAGCAGGTTATATATTGTACCATCTGTGGCACTCATCTAGACGTCGACTGATGGAAAATGAACACATTTATGATGAACTGAAGTAGTAAGTATTGAAATAAAAACAAAAAAGTGTTTTCAGTTGGCAGGTTGGCAAGTGGCTTATCTTATTCCTAGCATACTTTAGGTCTTGACATTGTTTTATTAAAAAAGGAGTATTGCAACTAGAGTCATATTTCTCAAATTGGCACACAAAAGATATCAGTTTTTTACTTGAGTCAATGCTACTGAGTCAGTCATAACTGTTATTGTTAACATCTAAATTATAACCGTTTGATTTTTCATTTTTGCCCTTTGAGTATTAGTGATATGTTTGCTACCAGGCACTGGAAATAGAAGTTTTTTTTTCTTTGATATGCAGAAATTTGGTGCATTTATTACCTGGGAAAACCTTTTAATGATACAGCACAGATAATCCAGATATGGCAATATCCTCTACAGCTTCTTAACATTTCATAAGGCTTTATGTGTGTGTACTTTGTTGTTTACAATGAGTTCCAGCTATGCACGCATAAAATATGACTTGGTTTCTTATTTCAATTGTTTTCAAGGTTAATATAAAATGGAGTAACAAAGCATACATTTGCACAAGCAAGTAGTGTTTTACATTGATCTTCAGGAATAATTGATGGCAAGTCCATTAGTAGATTAGGTCAGTGCTGTTAAACTTCAAGCTCTCAGTGCTTGTAGAATGTGAAATGGTTTTCATGTATCTGTTCTGTACTAGGGTAACTTGATAGATTACTGTGAGATTTGGCTGTTATTAAAAGTTTGTTTAACAGTAGATCGCATTAAGAGTAGATTATATCTATTTATCTGTGTATTAATTAGCTTCCTGTGAAGCACTTTCATTTGATGCTGAATGAAATATTGCATGCTGACCATGTTTTTGAAGTAAACATTATCTTTCTAGATAAATATTTTCATTTTTTATCCAGGTAGTGATCTATGTGTATGATTATTATTATTATTTTTTCATTTTAGGGTATTGTCTGTGAAAGGCTTTCTTTCTTAAAAAGCTATCGAAGTTATCAGCAACTTCTATCTTCCCAGTTTTTTGTCAGCACCATCTTCCACCCCTCCCCCATATTCAGGGGCTTAACAATACATTTCTTATCTTATTTACCAACTAGAAAGTATACCATAAGTGCAGACCTCCACCAATAAAAAAGCAAGAGGCTTAAATTCATATGAGATCACTTTTTCCTCTCCTTAAATACTCTATACCTAAAATTTCTGCAAAATTGTACATAACTGATGCCATTAAAAAACTACCCTTTCTAAAGTAAAGTTGATTGTTTTTAGAGGACAGTTGGATTCTTTTGGTGAGAAAAACTAAAATTATTTCTTATGCATTTTATAGTAATCACAAATCATCACACTTTACATATTTTATCAGACAAAATGTTTCCGAGCCCACTTTTTTCACTTTTGACTAAAAGAAAATTATTTGAGCAGCAGTTGTAAATTTATTGCATAAAAAGGTGCGTGACACTTTGGTGTGGCTGTAAAATTGGTAAATTTAAGAAAAAAAGTCTAAAATAACCATCAGTGCAACTGTGTATAACAGAGTAATATCATACGTAATTCCCTGGGGTCTGTCACAACCCAGTGTGAGTGAAAACTGATGGACATAAACCAAGGTATTATACCTTAATTTCCTCTGTGAACTAAATTGATATATTAATGTAATATTTAGTATTTACTCTAGCAGTTGTACATGGACCAGAATTGTTATTTTGACCTTTTTGTATTCATATTACAGGCAAAGTGAGCCTCTTCAGATGGCTTTTAGAGTAACATGGGCATATCTACAAGCCAATTATGTAAGGGTGGTTAGACTGGTGAAGAAACTGGAGTTCTTACAGGCTTGTGCTGTCCACCAGCACCTCATTAGTATTCAGAGGTAAGTAAATTCTGACTTCAGAGATAAGGAAATTTGAAAATCATGTCATTTGCCTTCTCTCTCACATATGCCTGCACGTTTGCGCACACACGTACTGATTATTTAGCATTACCCATTCATTCTACTTGTATCTGTGAAAGATGCCAGGAGAAAGCAACACACCACTGCTGTGCACTATTCTAAAAAAATCAGAGCTAATCTTATTCATTAGGTACTCCTTTGCCATGGAAAAATTTAATTTCTCTGTGCTGCCCAATCCCTTTGAAACTGTGAAGCACTTAAAGACAACCCTACCATGCACTTAAATATAAACACAAACTTTGGCATTATTTTTATTGAAGTGACTCAACTTAGACAAAAGAAAAATTTAATCATATTTATTTAGATTTTATTTTTGAAATTTTTGAAATTTTTGTAAAAGTTCGTTTTCCACCATAAGGCTGAAACCACCTGTTTTTCAGTTGTTTACTCAGCTTGGTTTACTTCTCCAATGTTACTTCATTGTAGGGATGCCCTGCGCAGAATGAGTGTAGCATACCACAGTAAAGCCTGTAGGTATCCACTGGACCATTTAGGTGAGATTCTGGGCATTGGGAGCACGGTCAGTCTACAGGCCATGTGCCAGCAGTGTGGGCTAACTGTCCAGGATGGGAAGATCTGTTTCCAGAGAGGAAATTTTAAGGAGCAAGAGAAGGTATGGCAGAAAGGCAGTCTGATTTATAATGGGCATAAAATCAAAGACAGTGACAAAAGAATTATTACACAACCCATTTGTATAATGATAGCTGATGGTAGTAGTTAATTTTGTAGATATCAGTTTCCCCTTCAAATCCTTCTTAAACATTGAGGTTCTCAGCTGAATATAACTGGTATTACATTGTCCCACTTACCGTAACTAGCTGGTGGTACACTTCCAGAAGGTGCTCTCCACCTCTCTGATCCTCCAGTTTGAATGTATAAATCGGTGTGCTTTAAATTGAGAGAAAACATTGTGTAGGTTTCTCAGACAAGCTATGACCTGGGGGTTTCAGTGAATAATATGAATCTGAAAATAGATTGCTTGTGCACAGACTGTGCCAACTTCATAGAACCAGAATGACAGCTCTTGCAAATTACACCACTCTCAGCCACTGAGGGACTTGTACATTTCCAATCTTAAAATCCACGATTGACAATTTATTTCAGAATTCCCTGTATCCCCTTGATTTTATTGACTCCATGCTCAGTTCCAAGTCAGTAATGGATATCCTTGTGAAGGATAATGGATGAAGTTCTCTGGTTATCCCAAAGAAAACTCGACCAAATGAGTGGGCCAAAAAGGACAAGAGGGACAGCTATGTAGGTTGGATAATGGTGTTTTTGAAGAAAATAGGCACATAAATTGAGTGAGGTGCTATTATCACTGCCAAAGAGGTTATGTTTTTCACCTCGGTTTATCTCTGTCGATCTGTTCATCACCAGCCTAACTCAAAAAGTTACGGAGCAATTTTGATGACATTTTGAGGATTGGTCAGAAATAGATTTAATTTGGGTGGTGGTTAAGCAGTTTGCTAATTAATTAGTTAATTAACTGATAATTGATAATGATGAGAATTTAGCTAATCAGTTAGTTAATTTCTAGTAACTTAGTAATTGAGTTAATTAATTAATTAGTCTTTGTGGGAATCTGTGATCTCTGAGTGGTTTGTTGATTACCTATCTCACTTTTTAAAAATAAATGTCAGATAAATTTACACTGAAGACTTTTTTAATTTTAACAAATGGATTTTGTTTTTCTTTTAAGGTAAAATGGAAAGAGCCACCTGTGGAAAGCAAAATTAACAGACAAGAAACACCCCAGGTTGGAGGATCTCAGAACTTTAGGAAGCCTTTCCTTGTGATTCTGATATCGATTTGGTTCTGATCAATTATATGGTAATAAATTTGAGAATGGATGGAAACCAAATTCATAAACACTGACTACATGTGATAATTCTAGTGGTTTGAATTCTAGTGGTCATATTTGACAGTACAAAGTAAGTTGTTTCTGATGAGACTAACACATACAGGTATTACCTACCAGTGCTACACAAGACATGACTATAAACCTATTTCACATTTTTTTTATATTTGTGATGTTCCTTTTATTGCATGTTACTAAAGAGTTACTCTAGCAGCTGCTGTAAACAGTGTTGGATAGTTCAGAAACAGAATGTGTTATGCAGGGGCGGATTGGGGGATATTTTCTGAAAGTCTTCCAAATTATCTTTGTTGAGCCATCCTCCATTTTTGACCGTCTTCTGACAGAATAAATTAGATACCCTTCATTGTAAACTTGAAAATCTGACCATCTTCCAGAAGACCCAGAAGATGGCCTAAATCCGCCCCTGTTATGTGCCAGATAATGCACTGACACCCAAAGGATGTAAGACGGAACATCTCAAGCATCAGTGGGGAAGGGGGTTCAAGGCATGCGTATATCATGAGAGGGTAAGTGTATTATTTGACATACATACAGAGAGAGAGAGAGTTATGACATTTCACTGAAAACGCCCCCTAATGCAGAATATATTTCATGGAAGTGATACATGGTGATTTTCACAAAATAAGAGACATGAGGTGGCTGATATTTGTTTATTTGCAGAATAAATAACTGTACAAGCTTAAGGTATGCCCAGACCCATGTTAAATACACAAAAATAAAGAACATTTATATAAATTATTTTTCATAACCAGTTAATTGCATAAAATATATTCTGTATAAATCATTTACTTACAACAGCATAAGCTTAGATATATAAATATATATATATATAACAATAACAAACAAAAACAAGTAAACAAAATGTAAAACATTTTTATGACTGAAAAGTGAAACATGCTAGGTGAAAGTGTAACTTTTGAGATATGGAGCCTATGATACAAACTGAATTGTCGTAGACTTTGTTACTGTGTAATACATTTTGAGTTTACACAGTCAACGATTTGGCTATTCCATTATTTTCATCAAAACCACTTTGAATGCTGTTGCTTCACTGCTAACCTTTCGGTCATAATTCCTTGCTTGTTTCCATTCTAAAAATGTTTAAACATCTCAGATGTTTGTTAAATCACAGTTACTTGAATGGAAAATAAATCAATAATAAATATAATTTACATATACCACAGTCGGAGAGAGAGACGGTTAGTAAAATCTGAAAGAAAAAAGGCCAACAGATTATGCAATGTGTCCTATAAAGTTGTCTATGGGACCATTCCCACTTGCTATCAACTCAACAGGCATAAATGTGTGACACGCCTAGTAAAGCTGTTAGGGGGTAATTATCTTTACCCCCCTAACTGATTCGGTAGGTGTGACAGACATTTAAGCCGGTTAGTTGATAGCAATTTAGTGAGACTCCCCAGGGAGTTAGACCGATCCAGATGGATCGATCTAGGCATGGGAACCCAGTCTTTGTGGTTATCTAGTCCTGTGATTGTAATAATGGAAATGACGTAACAGTTAAGCAATATATCAGAAGCTATAACACCAATAATACTTGGTATAAAATAACGTTATACGAAAAAAACAAACAAGATACACATGCGTGAAAGTTTGAAGATGTAATTTGATTTCGTTTCCTCTCAAATAATTTCCTTTAGAATTATTCGAAATAACCCATAAAAATGGAATGGCACTACTGTATCTGTACATTATCTCCGGCACGAGTAATGTCACACAGTGTTTTAGAATGCCGGAACCACGATCTCAGTACGAATAAATGCAGTTCATAAAAATATATGCAACAAAATGCAGATGATAAAGGCCACGTACATATAGTATCCCGGACCGTGATTATGTTTTACGGCAACGCTCTTTCTAAACCGTCGCACGTTTTCCCTCACACACGTGGAACGGTTCGACAGGCCGTTCCAGATTGAAGACTCTCCCGCTGGGGGCGCTGAGCGTTCTGTGGCACCAAACATGTTGACGTAGCAGTTCTTCACAGCCGATCTGGCTCCCTCCCACTTTCCAGGCCCCTCCAGGCGGAACTGCGCGGGGACACAAGGACCAAAGTAACACCAGAGAGCAAACATGGGATCTCTGAAAAACATTTTCTTGAGATTTGGCTTGCAGCCGACAGCGTCTGCGAGTTCGTCCATGTATGGCACCCAGAAAGTCTGTAATTGTAGATAATATTAATGATTAACAACGTTTGTAGACACAGGTTATGTTGGCCATTAATGATTAACATTTGCTTTTAAGACCCATATAATGGAAACTGACATTTTAGGGCGCGACAAGTTAAATGTTTATTGTCTATATGTGTTGGGCGAGAGTCGAGTCCCGTCACAAAAACCAACTGTGTAAAATCAATGCTAAATTTGGAGTTGTACTAGTAAATGGCACACTTTAAGAAACAATATCAATAAAAAGGGGGTAAGTAATTAAACAAGTAACCACAAACTACTGTGGCCACACAAATGATAATGCCATTATGCATCATTCTTTGATTTGATAAAAGCCTTGCTCTGCGATCCTGGGTTGACGAAATTGCTGCCTTTTGAACGTAAAAAAAGCATTTTCGGTTTTAAGATTCTCTGAGTCAGCTGCAGCAGTGCATCTATCAGTATATGTGTTGTGGGTCATTAAATTCCATCTAATTTCAACAGCAAAAACAGTGGAATAGGATTTTTCTTAATGGCTCAGCCTACGAGGTCATGTCGTAGGAACAAAAGATCCAATAAAAAATATCTAGAAGCCGGTACGTTTTTCACGCGTTCTCCAAAACTCGCTCACAATCACTGTTTCTTACCTGCAATGCATGCCTCTGAGAAGGCAAAAATGTCTGTCTTACGTTCTTCTTTCTCTGGGCTATGTCTTCCATAATAATTTCTTTTGAAGGTAGAGTGAGATGACCTGCCATGTCAAAGTTTGGATATTTAACCACATTGCAGATGAAAACTATAGTCAAAAACGGTCATTTACAATAACAACACTAACCCTTAAACTGTATTGAATGATACAATATGGCGTAAAGAGGCAAAAACATAAAAAATTTCGAACATTTGTAAAGCGCCATGTAAATAAGATTCGTCAAAGAAAGAGCTATAAATATAATTACCTTTAACGATCCTGGTGAACCAACGGCTCTGTAGCTCAGAGATGGGCATGACTGCGCCCACTGCTTGAACCAGGCCTATCATTGCCAGGGTGGGGTGCGGTAATTGTGGCGGGAAGACGTACTTGTACAACTCGATGTTGTTGTTCTCTGTGTTCAACACGGCGGAGCTCAGGAACCGGTACTTGTAGTCATAGCCGGTGGCCAGGATCACGACGTCTATGCTTTCAAATGTGTTGTCATCAAACATCACCCCTGCAAAAAACAATTGTTTACACATATCAATTACTCCATACAAATGGAAGCGCCCATCTTTTCGTTGAACGCGCTTATCTCAGATTGTTTTAGATGTTCTTGGTGCGTTTGTCATCAACGTTGCGTATCGTTCATCAAACGCAATTGGAGAAGCTATCAACTTACCGTTTTCCGTGAAGCACTTGACATTGGGTCTCACTCGAATTGCTCCGTTCATTATCCTTAAATGGATGTCCTCGTTTATGGTGGGGAACGCTTCAAGTGCCCTGAAAGGACGATTGACAAAGTAAATTATTTTTTATTTGACGAAAAATAAATGATGACAAATATTTCTACGTCTTCTATTTTTATTCGTTATGAAAGATTCCGTCAATGAGGATATTTCCATTTCAAGTTTTTTTTTAATTTACAAAGTGTTTACCGAAAGAATGGGAAGCATATTTTCTAACTGAAAAAATCGTGACATGTCCTTACCTGTGTACGGGATTGAGACCAAGGCGCTGATGGTTGAATTTATAATTCGCCATTTTCTCCACACTCCACTGGAGCAGCCAACGCGGCAATGAGAACATCACCCTACTGTTGGCCATGGCGTCCGCAGGAAAGCCGAAGGGGCCCAAGCGACTTACGACCCATGCGCCACGACGAGAGCTGAGATAGATCTAGCAAAAAATAAGGAATTTGTGATAAAAACTGTCACACCACAAAGAAATAATTGTATGAAAATGAAAAATTAAATCTTTTCTAAAGAAACTAAAGGTGCCAATGGGGCATGACACGTGGACCCTTCTTCAAAGGACCTTGATCACGATTGACTTGTCGATTTTTAAATTTGAAGAAAATTAGTAATATATTGCAAAAAAGTCATACGGGTCAATTTTCTTCACTACTGCAAGTTGTAAAGCGCCAGTTCAACCTTGCAGATATTGTGCAGTGCTCACTCGTGTTACTTAAATGTTCAATGAAAGCGCGATTTTCTGACCGAAGGCCCTTCAAACGAAATGAATTCTTTCAAGTATCATCCATCTCAGGAAAAGATGATGCAAAATGATAAGGTTTGAACTACCTGCGCCGAAACCCTGGACATTAGCAGTGCCACATGGGGTCAATCTTTTCAACCTAAAGACCAAAGCTATTGTAAAAATGGGCGCAAAATTGGGACACCCTGAACTGAACTTTGGGTTTTTGGCATATTTGAGGTTGAACACAGTGTATTTCACGTAACAAGAGATCTTTGTCATTTAAAAGGCAGTAACTGTGAGTCAAGCAAAGTTCATATCTATTCTTCACTTCTTCGACTGCATAGAATATCATGCCCAAAGGACATACACCAAGCAGCAAAGCGTGAAGTTCGACCTTGTCTTAGTTGGGTCAGTTTGGACTTTTTTCTCGGGCTTTTAAGTCTATGAAAGATATAAACCATTTGCATTTTGATCAAATTCTCAAATTTGAATCGGAAAAAAAAAAAAAACAGAAATGCGCGTCTGTGTTTATATGATTTTCTTTCCAATAATTATTTACTTATGCCTATTGCTCCTTTCAGTTAACATTTTTGCTCGCTCTTAAAGTCATAGTTTTTTTTTCGTTTTGCTGTATTCCAGCTCATTTGCTTAAATGACAAAACAAAGATAAAAAATGGGAGTAAGGACAAAAGAAATGATACAGATTATACCATGGTTATTTAAACACCTTAAACCATATACGAAATGTCAATAAAATATATTTTCTTGTACGAATTAGAAAAAGTTAAGCTGGCGTACGGCCGCTCGTATACATCTTCATAGTCATTTTTACACAGTTGTTCTGTAAATGTTCTATGCAGTGTCTACTTCGTAACTGTACCTTTTCTCCCCACGAGCTCAGGTCTACGGCAATGTCCACTGCTGAATTACCCATCCCTGTAGAGATAAAAAAAAGGGGGAAAATAAAAATTTGCGATTTTATTTTACAGATATCCATTAGTCATTTATCTGTTAATAGTAGTAATAGAAGTATTACTCGAAATGAAATCATCTTCATAGAAATCATCTTCATAGAAATCACGCACAAATGACTGGATTTTTAGCGTTTTAAAGCGCAACTTCTTCAATGATAATAAATACGAAGAGATCATACGCACTAGACTGTAACCTAAACTTGCATAATTCGTATCTTTTTACCAAATGTTAAAAAGAGAACTGACATTCAGCATGTTCAATCGGTAGGTTCATTTTTGTGGCGAACAAAAAGTGGTATCCATTTTCTGAAGGTAGAATTACAGAATTGCACGTCTGGCCACGAATAAAAGCAACGGTTCGTTTGACATAGCGTTTTCTTTCAACTTTGGTTCTCTTAAGACATTTTTTGCGTAAATTGCTTATTATTTAAGCAATTGTTTACGATAATTCCGTGCCTTTGGAACGATGTGCGTATTTTCCAAGCTGGTCTAGACTATTATCCTACTCTAGATTACTTTGTTCCTGTATGATCTCTGTCCCGAATACATTATTTCCTTTTCATAACAATGAAATATACCGCCGAGAAGATCACGCCCAATTATAGTATTCTGTAGTGCACAGTTTTTAAAAACAGGATTCAACATTGAATGTGACAATTCAGTCTGAAATATATCTATTTAATTTCCGTAGCCTGTTATATATTCATTTATCATGCCAAAAATTTGTTTGAATATACATCTGATGTTAAATAATAAGTTATTAAAAAGCACCGTATACTGACCCTTTTATAATCTTGCTTAACCAATATTGTCTATAGTGAGATCGCAGTTACTGATATTTTATCCTTTATCTTATACTTTATTTTTGTGATGTAAGCATAATATAGACGTGTTAGAAGTAGCTTAGACAGCGAACAATGTTAAAATGTAACATTCTAAAAGCTGAATAAATTATTATTATAAACATACGTATTTTTTCATTGTGCCTTTTTTTTTTTTTTTTTTTTTTTTTTTTTNNTGAAAAATTTTTATTATAAACAAAAGTATTTTTTTATTTTGTTTTTTTTTTTTTTTTTTTTTGCTTTCCTGAACCTCTTTGTATTTCAAGGACAATATGAACGTAGATAATGAGGGGACGAGAATTAAATTCTCCTCCTCCTACTCCTCTGAGGATGTTGGTCAAAATGCTCTGGCATAAGAAAAAAAGGTCCGGTGCATGTGAAGTAGTTCTAGCCAACCGTTCTCTTGCCTCCCTCCCTTTTCCTTACTAAATCAAGATGAGAGGGTGGCTGCACTGTAACTATTTGACGTTGCATTTTTGGTCTTAATATACATGGCCTGAGGAACTTTGCGGCACTGATTTTAGCTGTTGTTACGAAAAAACTTGCTGTAACTTTGAATATGCAGGGCATAGATGGTAGTAAAACCCTTTGCTAGATTAATGTACTAGTATATGCCTATTCAATTAAAAATCATTCGATACTTAATCATTTATGATATACTTAAATGGGCGGTGGGCTTTAAATCACCAAAATGATATTACAAATACGCTGTACAGCAATCAACCACTTACAAAACCTCATACAGTGTAAAGGTATACAACAATCAACCAGTTACAAAACCGGCGCCATCATTTTATTCATGTTCTTCCTCAATGGCACACTCATCTGGGACAGTGGAGTTTTTGCCACAGCACATCGTCTTGAAACGACCATCTTTTGATCACAAATATGTCAATTAAATTGTTTGCATGAACACGAGTGTAATAGGGCATGCTAATAATGCATTATGTTTACGTTTATGATGAGAGGAACCATCAAGACAACCCAATGGACGACGCGTAAGCGTGTGGTATGCAATTTACTATTGCGCTACCATGTGGAGGGCGTTCTCCGTAATAGGGACGCCAAGACAAAAATCTTCTTTTACACAACTGACATGAGCTGTGATAGAAAAGAGCATTGTAACCATCTACCGTCATTATGTCTTAATGAGGTTTGAGCTTCAACAACTTCCGATATCTATGCATATTAATTCTTCATAGGACCCTTCACGAATTACTTATCCTCTCTATGCAGGCACAAAATGCCAAGTACATCAACCGCGAGTTTTTCAATTATTTCATAAAAACGTGCGCGATTCCTAAAATAAATAAGCAAGCGTTTCTCTCTGTGTTTAATTGTAGATCCAACGCATAATGCTTGAACCTTTTTTCTTTTTATTATACGGACATGCGGCTAACACCTGCATACCGAATCACAACAAGATTGATCAAAACAACCATGACCCTTGCTGGACTTAATTTCTGTTCTTTATGGAAGGTAAACAGACAGAAGATACAGATCACTTCTACACCCATTATACGTATCAAATTCAGTATCCTCAAGTTGTTTACCAATTCCACTCCGGGTTGTTTGGGTGCGTTCGCCAGTCACCTCTTCAGTTTAGCAGTTCATAAAATAACTGGACGGGTGAGGTGTCGGGGCGATCCCCGTAATCTAGCGGACATAAGAAAGAAGTAGAACTTATTCTTACCAATTATCAGCACTTTCTTGTCTTGGAAAACATCAGGACGTTTGTAGTCATGAGAGTGAAGCTTCACGCCGCGGAACTTGTCGAGGCCCTCGAAGTTCGGAATGTGGGGAGCGGCGTGGTGGCCCGAGCACACCATTACGCCGTCGAACTCTTCCTCGTGCGTGCCTTCGCCCGCGTCGTCCAGGCGCTTGGTTGTGATGCACCAGCGTCCAGAAACAGCGTAGTCGTCAGCGGGTCTAATGTGCTCGACGGAGGAGCGAAATTGGATGTACTTCAAAAGATCAAACTTCGCTGCATACAAGTGAAAGTACTTGAGTACTTCGGTGTGGTGCATGAAAGGCGGGGCTTCCTTCGGGACTGGGAAATCGCTGAAAGCCATCATTTCCTTGCTGATGTTAATAACACACGATCTGTATACACTCCCCTTGGACCCATTAGGTTCCTCGCTGTAGTTCCAAAGCCCCCCGATATCACTTTCTCTCTCATAGCACACGGGCAAGAGACCTTCATCCAGGCAGGATTTGATGGCGGTTAGGCCACTGCACCCTGCGCCTATGACGGCAATTTTCTTCATACTGCTGCAGAGTGATTCCTGTCCGGACCGAACTAAACACTGTGAGGTCACCTTCTCCCGGTTTCGTCGAAGGTTCCGGAGAGCTATTTAACCAAGTGGTGTGACTGACTATACCAAGACATGCGCAACGGACATTAATCTCCACCGCACGAGCCGCGTGTCGTAATTTGTGCACATAGATTGGAATAGTTAATACACGTTCATTCCTAGCTGTTGCGTCATCGATTTGCTTGTTTGTTTGTTTGTCTAGTGATGCATTTTCACCACAGATGTTGGATAAATAGTCACAATGTTTACATCGTATCTCTGTTTAAAAAGTTTATTTCAATGTTTTATAAACCGTATATTGTTGCACACGATTGTCACTGCAAACGTCACTAGACAACACAGGTAATAGTATAGCTTTCACCAAAAAAAAAAAAAACTTCGAGCAATTTGAAGCCGGTCTTTTCTCTTCAAAGTTTACATGATATGAGGGCTTTCAGTTGAGATATGCCCTGTCAAAAGAAAAAATTATGAAAAATGTGAAGTGCGCAGTTTAAAATCAGCTCTATTTTATTTGCTGTGGGTACTTATTGAGGCAAAAAATACTTCCCCGGTCTCTCTTAGAAAAAAATTCGACTGAAATCAATGTGGAGAAAAAAATCATAAAAATGAAAAAAACTGAACATTTTTATCTTCACTGAAGCATCAAATCCAATTCCCTACGATTGAAACTGCGTTTTCATTACACCGAATTTGATTATGTACCTGTTGAAAATTGAACATATTACTGGAGGTTATCCTTACCCTTGCTATCTTTTATATCTGTCAAAATTTTCAATTAACATTGACACATACATTGTCTTTTTTATCTATATGAATCATTATTAGCTTTTGTTTTTATATCAGTCTAGAACCTACGTATTGCTGAATGAAAGAAACGAAACGGACAACCAAGAAAAAATAATTTCGTACGTGTTAATCGCGTTGATCAGACAGCCTAGGACTGATATTTATATGACTGAATTAAAGATAAAAATGATAGAACTAGTAGAACTTGTGGATAAATCGCGCCAGTCAGTGACATCTATGCAATGTGCCTATTCTCGGCATCGGTAGACGTCATCAGCTACTAGTTCAACTGTACTTTACGGGGGACCTGTCGTTACAAAAGAGAAAGAAATGACCAGCACTTCTGGCATTTAAATCTGTAACAGGACACATTGAAATGTCGTATATAATTGATAGTTCTAAAACAGCACACAAAGTAATGCAATAGGGCACTGTCTGAGATCTGTTGTAGATGGAAGTGAAGCGGGAATACCCTGGACGTGCGGTGCTGGAGTCTGGTTGGCTCTTCCTCTCACATGCGTTTGGAAGGTGATCTCTGCATGGTCATCACTGTTAAAAGTGCCACCTTTGCCACTGCATGGTTTTGGGCTGGGTTTTATTTTTCACGTTTTGACTGCTATATTCTTTTTCTAAAGAGACAATCTTACACAAGAAACGGTCTGACGGGTGTTGTCCTTTGTACTTTGATGTCTGCCGTGGAGGGGTTTTCCACCAACTTGATAGTATAGGAAGAAAGACTGTATAGTGAACTTCAGCATGTCCATTCCATAGGACCAGCTCGGTTTACTATTGTACAGAGAGCTGGTAAACTTTTCACCTTGTCGCGCTCGAAATCTAATAGCAATTGTAGCTTATATTTTGTTAATCGAATGTAATGTAACATTTTACGCAGGTCGAAGGTGCCTATGTAAGCAGGTTAAGATCTACTTATAATTATAACGTCTTTAGTGAACCATATGGTAGGTCCTGTGCACATCCCAAAACCGTAGCTAGAAATTTTAATTTAAATCTTTCATTCATTATGAATTTACTGAAAATACAAATACATATTGTGAAAAATACAGACGTCTTTCATTTTTTGTGTTAAAACGGGAGGTTTGAAAGGTTTGAAACTTTGAAGGAAGACGGTCCCTCTCTTGCTAACAATAGATTGTACTTTATCTTTTATTTCTGACTGATTTTTACTTAATGTCCTGTTTTTATGACTATAAAATTAAACATCGTAACACAAACATGTCTATTATTGTTTAATCATATTTATATCCGAATACTGCTAATGCCTCGGGGCACATAGGTATGTTTCTCAAACACTCGATGAAAAAAAAATAGTCGCATTGAAAGTCGCATTGAAGGTAGGCCCTACCTACTGGTATGTAAATGATGAAGTAACTTCATTTTTTATCTTTTCGAAAATTCAAATATGTGTGTAATAAGATGTTACTAGTTGATTCAGCTTCATCTTAACGCTAATCATGTAAGGAACGGATAAGCTACACTTGCCTCTATAAATGTCGTCCTTTTCTTCGACAGCAGCGCCTTAATTATAGCAATGCTATGGTCCATTGGATTTTCGGGATGGCCACCTTTCTTTAAAATCCTTATAAAGACCATTGTGCACTCATATAACTTCCAACAGAAAGAGTTTACCGAAAAAGTTGCAAAGAACAATCCAGCAGAGTAGAGACTATTATTACATCCAATTCATGTGTTATGATGTGTCAGGCCAAAATACATAGTCCAACTTTGCAAGAAGGGTAGGCCAACGACCGAGTTGCGTTTATATTCTGCTGTCAGGTCGTGATTTCAAGGGAGGGGTGGGGGTGGGGGTCTTTTTCTGAAAAAGTGGACTGTTTACCATAAAACCTATGCGTATCTAGACCAAATTTTACCCAAAGCGGGCCTTTTCCCAGCGAAAAGGGCGATTTGTTCGAACCACCCGAACTCCCCTGGCTACTGGCCTGTAACCTACTGAAAACAGCCAAATAAAGCTAAAATGATAAATCTCCTTATATCTAAATTTTCTTTGATGCAGAAAAACATTACAAACTCTAGATAACTCTAATAATGCATCTATCTAAATTAAAGAAACGGATTATGGCTGAGCTTATACCGAATGTATGGAGAGTGGAAGGTAGGCTAAGGAGAAGGCTAAGGGGATTTTCAGCCTCGATCTCAATTTTGACGTCATTTTGATCAGGTGCTTGTAATGAGCGAGAACTCGTGAGGGGTAGCTAGCACCATGCCGTGCAGATATTTGCTTCTTTTTTCTGCTCTGCTGGAGATTAGCAGTGCGGGTTTGATACCAGACACATCACTGAAATATGTTAAGCATACAGAGACAAATTACGTCCCAATTATAGGTACGTCAGTGTGGTGAGCTTTCGGACAGAGGCAGAGAAGTTGTATATATTTTTGCTCGGTGTCATAAACTGGTAGCGAGCGTAACATGTAATAGAAGTGTTGGGAAACAGTGTTACTACTTGCTAATGCGATAAAATAGTATTGCTCAAAGTAGTCAAATGCATTTTATTTCTTTTGAGCTTTAAATTTATGTTAAAAAACTGTAGTTTCAATTATCTTTTCCCAGTCACTTCCCGGTTTTGAGTCTGCCATTCGCAGCGTTTGCAGCTTGTGTTTACATTTTATCGTTACTAAATGTAGGGGTATATTTACGCGCATTATATGTATAAATGTGCAGTGTATGGATAATGTGAAATAAATTTAACGTTAGGCACATAAATTCAGATCGACAGCGTATCAGTGTTGATCAAGTGAAGGCACATATAACTGAATAATACTTCTAGCAACAAGTTCTACACATCTAACGTCAACATATTTAGAGCCAAGTGACTCAGCAAAACTTACAAGTTTCATAGCTGCAAGAAAGCAAATGGTGTAAATCTGGAAATGCAGATCAGATTGCTTGAGTGGGACCCAAAATTTGAGGTCTGGAATGTATATCAGACAGCGAGAACAAAAATGGAATTATTTGAAATAAATTCAACCAAATATTTACTTTCTCTTAAATGTACAAGAGCCTTTCAAGGATGGCGATGGCTTTTGTGTTGACTTAGCAGCCACAGTGGTCAGACGTGCATTTTAATTGCTTTCTAGCAGCCATATAGTTTGGCCTGCTTTCCCCCTTCCCCCCCCCCTCCCGAGAGTCTGTACACGCATCCTGCCAATATTAATAATAATAATAATTTATTTTTTGAGCACTAAAATGTTTCAGTACATTTTGCAGGCCCTCTAAACTACTTGTGTTATACATATATGTAATATATATCTAGACCTATTATCACACTTATGTGATATCAGGCTTTCAAACATAAATGTAATTATGTTTCATAATTTTCTTATATACATAAACTACAGTAACAAGTGGAAATATTTCTTATGAATGTGGGAAAAATAAACTATAATGAATTATATGATGAATATATTGCTGTGTATCTAAGCTTAAGAAAATCCATTTGAATAACTGATGCTTTGACGAGGTACAAAAGACTTAATGAGAAGTTGTAATTATTAACACATAATGAGAAGTCTTTGATCATTACAATTATGTAAATGAAGTCCCCTCTGTTATTATGCAGGTATTATGTCCCAGGAGTCTCCAGACGAGTTGAAGAAGTATGGGCCAACCTACATACCAGCTTCTTATGTGGGTTATTTGGAGCAGGCAGGAGCAAGGGTGGCACCAGTGAAGTAATAGACTTGTTTTTAATTACTGAGATGATGTTTTGTCATGAAATATATTCACTAGTATACATGTATGAGATACAGATTTTGTATGGCAGTTGTAGAGTTATACTCTAGTATTCAGTTTTACCCCTGAAAATAGCTAAAAAAATTGTTGGATTTTTTCACGTGTTACATTAAAAGAAAGCAGATTCATTAAATCCTGGATGACAGTTATTTCAGTTTAATTATTAAGAAATATTATAATAAATTTAATTATAAATCCACATTTCTTTCACTTTCATATTTCAGTGATTTATTATTTTCTTTAAGAAATGCTATTTTTTGTACACCTAGGTAATTTCTTATACTCAGATATGCACTTATACTCAGATTCACCACTTTTTTTTAAAAAATTGATTTTTTAAATTTTTCAGAGTAAACCAGACAGATGACTATTACATCAGTCTCTTTAAATCTTTGAATGGGTAAGTCAGGGGAACAGAGGTATAAATAACTTTCTTGAACCTTGCTGCTGTGTAAACAATAAAATTACAGCATTTATTCTATTCAGAAAGTTGCTCTTATATTCTCCTATTTTGATAGTTTTTTTTTCATGAATTTTAGAGTATTATTTCCTGGAGGAGAAGTGTCCATTCTTGACTCTGGATATGCAAAGGCAGGGCAGATCTTCTTCAAACTAGCCATTGAGGTAAGGGACTATGATTTCTATATGTTATTGTGAAAATAAATAATTGATATGTATGAAGCAGATTAAAGTTAAATGGCTGTCAGAGAATCGGTGTATCCTGTGCAGTATCTATTTGATATTTTTTAATTTCAATTTCTTCACGAGTCATATTTTGACCCATCCCTTTTCTTGGATTCTATCTTCTGTACCATTTCTTATTAAATAGCTTCAGCCCATAACCTAAAGCCGTTGGCTAAGTAAGGCCCAGGAAAAAGGAAAACCACATGTCCCTGGGTCTTTAACATGTCCTTGTTTTTTCCATCTTTCAAACTGCACTAAATACCACTTTATTGAATACATTTATTTATTTGTCTCCTGGATTCATGATTATTATTTGTCTCAGGTATGTCATTTTGCTGTCTCAAGGTTATGAAATCAGCAATTTTTGCTGAGTCATTTGACTCTTGAAATGTTGGTGTCACATGTTTATATTGGCTTATCGAGAAAAATCTTACCGTTTTCAAGGGTTCTTTTTTTCTCATCTCTTAGAATGTAGATGGAAATAAAACACAAGTCATTCTTGGCCACACTAGAACTCATTCTTTCCTTTTTGTGTATTTCATATATTTTCATATATATATATCTATCTATGGTATTTTATAAGTTACATGAGGATAGATGTGTCTGAGCATCAAGTTACACAGTAGGTACTGAATACTGAATACTAGTTGATAATCTGGTATAATAAAAAAACTTGTAAACAGGTCAGGTTTGTCAAGTTGGAGTTGGACACTTATGTCCCATCTCCACTTTTTACATTCACGTTGAATTTTTCAAAATTGAACGTGAGTTTTCAAAAAATAATTACTTGTATGAATTTGAAAATTTTGTTTTTCAGGTGAAATGTTAATTAGCACAGTGTGTGTCCATGTTTGTGTGAGTGTGGATATATATATATATATATATATATATATATATGTGTGTGAAGTGTTATTTTTATTTTCAAAATATTTTTCAAGTCTTAACTGATACAAGAATCATATGTAAAAAGAAATAACATGTGACAGTTAATTTCAGGCTTATGACCGAGGAGATTACTTCCCCCTTTGGGGAACCTGTCTTGGGTTTGAGCTACTCACAGCCTTGGCCACTGGAAAAAATGTGCTCAAAGATTGCAGCGACATGGACATCAGCATTCCACTCCACTTTGAACAAGGTAGGTTTTAAGTTTTCTTTTGTGTAGTATTGGTGAAAAAAGAAATTGTGTCTGTAAAGAGACTTGTCAGTTTTGTGTTCAAGGCCATTTGATGAAAACTTAGTCTCATAGGTAAAAAAACTTGCCAAGGATCTTTTGAAATGACTGTCCTTTTACCATGATTTTTGTTGTTTTCTTTGAAATGCACAGTATTGTAACTGTTTCCTTCAGGTAAGCTTATTTTATCTTGACTGGAAAGACCTATTTTTATTTATAGAGAGTCTGTGTTTTTGCTTTTGTGTATAGCCAATAACTATAGAGACTTTCATAAATGTATTTATGGAGACTGTTTGAATTCAGATTTCAGGAAGGGCAGGCTGTATAGAGAGATTCCAGAAAGCTTGGTGCAGATTTTGGCAACTGAGAATGTCACAGCAAATTTTCATTTTTCCTGCTTAGACCCAGAGGTATGTTGGTGGTGTTTGCATACATTGTTTATGGAGAAATGAGTTTCTTGTTCCAAAGTTTGACAACCTTAATTTTTTCTGCCTCATTATGTCTCAAAGTGTAAAAATTATTTTTGGAAGAAAATTCTTTTTTTTTTTTAATTTTTTTTTACTACATAATGTAATTTGATTGATATTTTGATTATATTTTCATAGACTTTGACTATGTTGTGTATATTTTTCAGACATATGAAAATACTCCTGAACTGAAGAAGTTTTATAGAGTGTTGTCTAAAAATAACGACAAAAAAGGAAGTCCTTTTGTGTCTTCAATGGAAGGTAATAGAAAATTTAATTTGGAACTGCATTTCTTTTAAGTGGATAATTTATGCTAGGATATCGATGTAATTGTGATATTAGCAGGTTATACTTGACTTGAATTGGAGCAAAAGCTTTGTGGGTGTCAGTGCAAATTGAGTAAATAATATTACAATCATTACAATCTCAATTACATGTTTGTTTAACATAATACCTTAGACCAGTGTACAGATAATTAATGTACCTTAAACTATAAATGCATTTTAACAGATGTGGGTATTTATTTTATTTATTTATTTTTATCTTCAGCATACCGCTACCCATTCTATGGTACCCAGTTCCACCCAGAGAAGAACAACTTTATCTGGGATCCCAGCTACAAACTGGAGCATACAATGCATTCTGCACTGGTTTCACAGTATTTTGCGAATTTCTTTGTGGATGAGTGTAAGTGTTTTTATTGAAAGCTAGAGACTTTTCACAAAATTACAGCAATATTTAAGCAAACTTATAGTTGCTTGAGAGAGTAGCATTGATCAGGTTTATTTTATTTAATGATTTATTATTTTGATATAGTAATACTGCTCTTTAATCAAAAAATAAAAAAACTAAAACAAACTGTGCATAAAGTATATCTAAATCGTTAGTTTTCAAAAGCTTCATTTTTTTTGTTAAGTATTTTTTACATAAAACTACATTGTATTGTTTTCATTTTGTAGGCCGAAAGAGTAAGCACAGATTTCCCAGCCCAGAATTAGAGGCCAAAGTCATGATTGATAACTATAAGCCTGTCTTCATGGGATCTCCTACATTCCTAGAGTATTACATGTTTGATGTGTAAAAAGAATAAGTGCAATAAGAACAGTGGGAAGTACAGGTATAAAAAAGGCAAAATATACATTTTGTATTATTTAACAAAAAAAAATCAGGCTGTTACTGCCTAAGTAAACCTTTCAGTTCCCACAAAACATGAACAATAACCTGTAAACAATTTCTAACTCTGTATCTTGCAGAATTGATTTGAAACACTTTAACTGAAGCTGTGATATCGAATGTGATGCTGAATCATTGTAGAGAAGTGATGTGGATGCCTTGCTCCTTGTTCAATCAGACATTTCCTTTAATATTTTCTGTTTCATATATTTACATTTTCGTTTGCAGTAATATATTTATATTTATATTTGTATTATCCCAGACTGCCCAAGCACAGCTGATGTCATTTTTGTGGTATATATTTTTTCTTATTGGTCAGATATGTAGACCCTAAAGAATTAACATATTTTCTTTGTGTAAAAATGGTGATACTGGATGTAAGTGGATCATGTTAGTGTTATAGTTTTTTCAAGGAAGAAATGGTTTTGCCTTTGTTTGTTTGTTAGTTAACAGTAACTTACGTAAAAGGAATGGACAGATTTTGAGTAAATTTTCGGGATATATTAGAAATGGAATAACTTAGAATTGATTAAATTTTTGTGGTGATCCACATAATTAACATCTAATTATAATTTAGCTGTCTTGGCAGAGGTCTGTGCACTCTGAGTGCTGTTCTAGTTAATTATTCATTTATCGTCACATTCCTCAATTATTTACCATGAAAATAGTCAGATACTTTATTCAAAGGACATACAATAATACTCAGTTCGTAAATGTTACAAGACAGCTTAGCTAGCATATGTAGTTACACTTAGGGACCGTTCACATGGAAAGTCTATTTTCTAAAAATCTATTTTCTATTTGCGGTATCTTGTGATCACGGTCTGTGCCCTGAATATTCCGCGGCGTAATTACTGGCAGCGCGAGCCAGTTACTTCCATGATCACAAGATACCTCAAATAGAAAATAGATTTTTAGAAAATAGACTTTCCATGTGAACGGTCCCTTAAGTCAAAATTGATTAAGGTTACACATTTTGAAACAGCTTTAACAAGTTACAACCACTTTCATATAGCACATAATGATGGTTTTGGGATCCATTAGACAACAGGATTGCAAAACACAAAAAAAATGTGCCAATTATCTTTGTGAAAATAGACAAGTCCTATATTTTGAATTAATTTGACCTGTCTTTTCACCCAATAAAACTTACAAGCAAATTGAAAGTTATTATACATATCAAAGCAAAAACAATGCAACCAGTATATAAGTAAAGTTTGACATTTATGGTTAAAAATCCTGAAAATACCTGCAAAATGAATCTGTATGTATAAATCCAAGGAAGAAATAAAGCTTTACTTTATACAGTGGAACTAAGAGCAGTGTTCACTTGTTTTTCACAAATATTTTTCAGCATCATGGGATTTTAGAAAAAAAATGTATAACTCCAGATTGCATTAATTTTTGTCAGCACATTATTGGGTCCTAATAATGACATAGACTAACAATTTCTATACAGAGAGTTGAAGCTTGGGACAATCTTGCTGCTAAACTGATACTTAGCAGTCAAAGTCATACGTGTAGCCAGCAATTTCAAAATTTAAAGAAGCGGGCCTTTTTCACTCCTTTTATTTATTTTATTTATCCAAATTGAAAATTATTATTCAGAGCAGACTGATAAAAAGTTATCGTTTTGAAACACCTCTGCCTTGTGGAACTGTGAATCAGGAATGAAGGCACGATACTCAAAGCAAGGTGGGGCAGAAACTGCAGAGATGTGCCCTGGATAGAATATGTGAATACACAGATTGTGCTAGTTGAGATCACGCTCATTCATTGTGCGAGAAATAAAGCGAGACAAACAAACATGGCGGTGGAAATAGAGTCTGCAGAGTGAGTATGCTCTTTAGATAACAATTACACAGGCTGTGAAAGTCTGATCGCGGCGAACACTCGACAGAGGCGATGTTTGGTGTTGTGCACCGTAGAAAGTGTGTTTTAGTTTAGGTATTTGGTATAGATTATTGGAGGGAATGCTACGCACGTGTACCGGCGACCAACTAACGTTACTCGACTGCAAACTTTCAAGCACTGCACTGCAGCAGTTTTACATATGATGTTCTCTTTGTGTGTAACGTGGCCGTGCATTGGGAGGCTCATTGAATGCACACTAAAATTGGGACATACAATAACAGCTCAGCACCTAGGCAATACTTTATGGATATATATATTATTTATATTTGCTTTGCCTTTGGGTGAAAGTCTTAAAAAAATTATAATAAGGAAATCCAAAGTTTACAAGCGATTGTGAACATATTGTAATGTGTATAAAAATAAAAGGACAAAAGATGTCAGGAGTCATCACTCTAATCAACATACTTTCTGCTTGGGATCCACCTATCCCAAATTTAGATCAGATCATTTTATAACTCACACATGTACAATTTAAAATAGTTGTAAGAAAGAATCTGCCTATGTAGAATATATGACCTGTCACATGTTTTTATAAAGGACTTTCCTGTAATTAAGTTAAGATAAAATCATTTCCATTATGATTATTCGTTTTCCAGTGTTGTCAGGTTGCTTGAACAGTACCTCAAAGAAAATAACCTACTGAGGACCTTGTCAGTTTTACAGGTGAGAAATTTGCCATAGGCTACATAAAATCATAGATATAAGTAAGAATTTGTCAGAGATGTTGTCTGGCATGTTAACACTGGTCCCATGCCAAAATGCCAGTAAATTGAAGCCGAGAGAGTAAAAATTGACCATTTCTTCGGTTACTAGTCACTATTATTACTTTTGCTCAGTACATTCTTAGAACCTGCATGGTAGCTCATAAGGCCAGTAGGCTAAAAAAAGTTTAAGCACAGTCAATTACCATGAAATTATCAGTTAAAAAGACACTTAACATATAATTACACACTTGAAATTTTGGTTTTTACAGGATGAGACTGGGATTTCTCTAAATACAGTAGATTCTGTAGACAGTTTTGTGTCAGACATCAACAATGGCCATTGGGACACAGTACTTCAGGCCATCCAGTCCCTCAAACTGCCAGACCAGAAACTGATAGATCTTTATGAACAGGTCAGGTTTCTCTTATTTTATTTCTTTTTGACAAAGTTACTTTAAATGTCAATGTCTCTTGTGCTTTCTTTTCCATATTGACAGATTTGATAAGTTTATATTCATTTGATATCTCTTTTATTGAACATGTTGCCTTTTGTGGATTTTTTTTTTTTTTCAAAAAACAAAAGCAGGACATTTCAGAAGAAATATCTCTGATAATTTCAGATTGTATTGGAACTGATTGAGTTGCGTGAACTGGGAGCAGCGAGATCCTTACTCCGCCAGACAGACCCTATGATCATGATGAAGCAGACCCAGGCTGATAGATATGTTCACTTAGAAAACATGTTGGCCAGGTCTTACTTTGACCCAAGAGAGGTGAGCACCACTAGCTTAGCTGAAATTTCTATAAGTTTTTCTTCTTCTTTATATTATTTTATTATCAATGGAATTGTCCAATATCAGCATGTATTCATAAAAATGAAAAAAAAAAAGTAATAATAATGATAATTTGAAATCATATTCTAATTATGTCCAGTAGACCTTACAATTTAGAATATTAAAGGCTAGTACAACAAAGGAAAAATTGATAAAAATGAATTATCTAACAAGGCTGATGAAAGTACATTATGAATTTATAAATAGTACCAGTTGTTTAAATATGATGCTATAATCATTACCCATTCCTTGCCTTGAAAGATGATTCAAATGATTCTTCAGTCTGTATCTGATAATCATTAATCAAAGCAGTACATTTCTCTGTAGGCTTATCCTGAGGGTCAAACCAAGGAAAGGCGGAGGGCAGCCATAGCAGCTGCGTTGTCTGGAGAAGTGAATGTCGTCCCTCCCTCACGTCTTCTTGCTCTTCTTGGTCAGGCCTTGAAGTGGCAGCAACACCAGGGATTACTTCCTCCAGGTAAGATTGCCAGATTGTCACTCTGTTGTTGACCATCCTTGAAAGAAAATCTGTTTGGCACTGTCAGTGTTACAGAAGAATGTCCTCAGAATTATTTGTGGAAAAAAAGAGAAGTTATTTTATTTTGGGTTTGGCTGTTAGAGCATCACATTACAATGATAAATTATTTTATTTCAGATTTCATTATTGAAATAACAAAATACACATGTTGTTATTTTATTTCTGGTTTAATTGTTTAGATATCACAGTACGAATTTGTAAGATATCTGTATTTGTTAAAATAATCTGGACTCATATTTTTAATGTATTTGGTCATTTAGGCACCACTATTGATGTGTTCCGTGGTAAAGCAGCAGTTCGTGAACAAGAAGATGAGAAGTATCCTACCCAGCTCAGTAAAACAATTAAGGTGCAGCATCTAACATCATTTTATACTCAGATTTCATTGTATACACTAAATGTGCTTCTTGTTTGCCTTTGTAAATGAGAAAATGAAATCAAGAGTTGTCCATTTTGAAGGATAAAAATTTAATTTATCTCTGTAGTCTGGCTTTTTTTTTACTTATAGGATAGCTATGTCTGTTTAGATAATTTAGAATCCCAAAAATTGTATTTCTTATTAATTTAACAATTGTTACATATTCATTTAAATGTATTTTTGTTTTCCATTTCATTTTTTGATCTAAATTTTTGTATTTTGGACACAGTTTGGCCAGAAAGCCCACGTGGAGTGTGCGAGGTTCTCTCCTGATGGCCAGTATCTTATCACTGGATCAGTGGACGGCTTTATAGAGGTGTGGAACTTTACCACGGGCAAAGTGAGGAAGGATCTCAAGTATCAGGCCCAGGTAATGTAGAGGGCTTGTTTTATCATGGTCAATAACCTAAGGGAATGCAATTAATTTTTCACCTTTATGTGGGGAAAAAAATTCAGCGCTTTTCCTCTTACTACCAGGGTAAACCATATCCAAAACTGGTCACAAAATTCCTGCACATAAATTTGATTTTAAGTTTTAAGGTCTGGAGTCATTCCCAATAATGGTGATAAATTCATAGGCTTGTTAGGTTCACTCAAGGTTTTAGTGTAAATTTTTGTATTGTTTTCATCACATATCACTTCATGTTGCTATTTGATGATGTTACTACCTGCTGTTATATTTACCGTTATGTTATGACACTGATTTAGGATAACTTCATGATGATGGACGATGCTGTACTGTGTATGAGTTATAGTAGAGACTCAGAGATGTTGGCCACAGGAGGACAAGATGGAAAAATTAAGGTAAATCTTGTGTGAAAAACTCAGTTGGGAATCTAGATTGTTTGTCTCTCAGTGTTTTACCTATTTTGATTTATATTAGCATTTTTTTTTGCTTAAGTCATATGAATAATTTTTGCCAAGTCAGTGATAAGTTTGTGGAAAACAGTCAAACATAACACATTTTTTGTAGGACTTTATTTGACTGAATGCATGTCCCAGTTGTATAGTCACACATTCAGCTGTATTCTATCATCTTAAACATATTTCATTAAGGTGTGGAAGATAATAACTGGACAATGTTTGAGGCGGTTTGAGAAGGCCCACAACAAAGGAGTAACCTGTGTCACCTTCTCCAAGGACAATGGTCAGCTGTTGAGTGCATCCTTTGACCAGACCATAAGGTGAGTAAGATGGTCTCAGCACACCTGTCTTTGTCTTGTGTGTCACTGATGAGGGTTGACACACTCAGAGTGACAATGTGGGAAGATTTTCAAAGATTTTCAAAGAGGTTGAATAGAAAAATGTCTCAACTAAAACCTGTCAGCATTTATGTCACAGACCATGTTGTTGTCATTTTTATGTTTACAAACAAAAGGATGTTTGTTTTGTTTTTTTCAGAATTCATGGTTTAAAATCTGGAAAAACACTGAAAGAGTTCCGGGGTCACACATCATTTGTCAATGATGCAGTGTTCACCCAGGAGGGCCACAGTATTATCAGGTGAGGCAGAGTGGAATGTGACATAGTATGGAAATATTATAACATAATGATCTTGTCCACTTATTTCATCATTTTTTTTCATAATAATATGTACTCCTCAAACACACTTCCAGAAGGTCATAACCTATTAATAATATATACTATCTTTTACTGCCCTGTTTCAGTGCCAGTTCGGATGGCACAGTAAAAATCTGGAATGTGAAGACCACAGAATGCAGCAACACATTTAAATCATTTGGAGGTGCGGCGGGGAGCGATATTACTGTACACAGCATCCACTTACTGCCTCGGAATGCTGAGCAGTTTGTGGTGTGCAACAGATCCAACACTGTGTCCATTATGAATATGCAAGGACAGGTATGTTCAAGAAACGTCCTTTACCTTTCCACAATTCTTCAGACTGTATTACTAGAGCAATTTCCATTACTTTTTTCACTAAATTTATTTTTCATATGGCCAGAACAGTAAGCTTATTTGTTGTCAAGCATTATATGGTATTTTTCGTGGCTATTCCAGTGAGTGTTTAGTATTCTTTACTATTGTAAAAGCAGTATTAGTTCTGGACATTCATTAAGGCAGATTTTGAAGAGGTTTTCAGAAATTATTTTACATATAAAAAGCCACTGAAACCACATTTAAGTGAACATTTGACCCCCTTATCAGTCTGCTTTCCAATTTCCCACAGTAACCTCAGTGGAGAAGATTGATATTGTACCTCAATCTTAATTACCTTTTCTTTACCTGTTTTTTAGATTGTGCGTAGTTTTACCAGTGGTAAACGTGAGGGTGGTGACTTTGTGTGTGCTGTGGTATCTCCGCGGGGAGAGTGGATATACTGTGTGGGAGAGGACATGGTGCTCTACGCCTTCAGCACAACTACAGGGAAACTAGAGAGAACTTTGACAGTAAGTGCTCCGTTTATATCACAGTTAATTTAGGTGATTTTGTACAACAGATCATTGGTGTTTTTCTAATAATCAGAACTCTAGAAATTTGAAAAATGGGAATGTTGTCACTCTTGTTTTCTTTTTTATTTATTCATTTATTTATTTTAATTTTTTGTTTGTTTTTTGTATTGTATGGTGGATGCCTGAATATGATGATTATAGTAAAATATCATCTTCTTTATAAAAGGAGATATTTTTTGCTACAAATACAACAATGTCATGTATGCCATTTTAATACCATAATGCCATCTCTACCATTTTCCTTACGTGTTCTGTATACTATAAATTTTATTTATTGGAAAAAAAGTTTCTAGCAAAGAATTTTGAGTAAGTTTAAGGTGTCATTGCTTCCCTTTGAGAAACAAAAATTTTAAAAATTCAAGAAATCCTCTATGTGTCTCATTGCATGGTGTATCAACCGCCTTATTTTATATGTGGATGGCTATTCTTAGAGCAAAGAGAAATAGTTATCTTGGTCAGAAACCTTGTTAGGAGGAGTAATTAATAATTTACACAGAGGCAGTAAGATTGAAACCTTTGCAGATGTAAACTAAGTATTTTAGGTGATTACCTTCATATAATATTCAGTAGTTGCCAAGTTAGACTCAGAAGTATCTGGAATGAGAAATAGAAGCCATTGCAAGACAACAGCTTTGTTCTGGAATTTTTGTTTATCGGATTTGGTGGTGGGGGATGCTTTCTTTTCAGTCCCCTTTTCAGTGTCATTATTGATCAAATAACAATAATAGCCTTTTGACTTGACATAATCTGCAAAGTGCTTTTTCCTGATTATCCGCCAGGGGATTCTGTCTGAAACTGTTTTAGACAATGTTCACAGGTCTTTGCATAAATCATGGTGCTCTGCCACAAGGCACATGAGTTAATGTTCTCAATCAATTTTTGTTTCACCTTAGAAGTCACTGGGATATCTCTGTGAGTCGGAACATGCAATGGATTGTGGTTGGCAGGCTTAATCTCGTTTAATTATTCATAGAGGCATATTTGTGCAGCTCCATGTATAGAAATGTGTAATTGTTTGTGGAAAATAAGTTTCCGTCTGAGTATTTTTAGAAATTCAACTGTCATTTCCCCCCACTAAGAAGTCACTGATTATGACAGGTACAGAAATTTGAAAATCGGATGAAGTTTTATTTTCTTTTTTGAAGTAAAAAATCAGGGATGAAATGCGTAATGATCTTATTGTTCACGCAGGTGAAGTTTTGCAATTACCTTGGTATGTTATCGAACATTCTAAATGTTTTAACACTGTATATTCATCAGCAAATCATGATACAAGTGTGGTTAAAAGAGCAATTGAGATATTTCTATGCAATCTTTTCAACTGAATGCACGTTGGCACTCCTTCCTACTTTCTAGTAGTGCGTCATTAGGCCATATGCCTGTGGCAGAAAATCAATGAAAATTCTTCTCCTTACAATCGAAATCATTTTCTGATATCTTGAGTCCTTTCATTCACTAGTGATTTGATTGTGCAGCATTGGATACTGTCTGGTTAAAAGGCGCCAAACTGAAATAAAAGCTTTCGGCATATAATGTTCAGAAGGGGATTTATTCTGTATGGAACAATTTCATGTCATAGACCACAATTTGTGGACAAGAAGCCTTAATACAGCTTCCTGTTCATCATGCCCACTTGAATTTTCCATCAGTTCTCTTCATTCTTGCATGTCGTAAAGTACAAAAATACTTTCAATATTTTTCCAGGTCCATGAAAAAGATGTGATAGGCATATCTCACCACCCGCATCAAAACTTAATTGGTACTTACTCGGAGGATGGCCTTTTGAAACTTTGGAAACCTTGAGATCAACTTGGCTGAGTTTGTAGTACAGAAAAAAAAAAAACAAACTGCTTTGCATTTGAAGAGAACAGAACCAAAAGTACAAAGTACTGTTGAGAGATTGAACAACGCCCAAAACTTTGTATTATCCATGATTTGGTCCTAATGGAGAAGCTGATAGCCCTGTTGGATGGATTATGACTGAGATATGTAAATTTAACATAGTACAGGTGTAAGGTGGGAGGAACTCTGTGGGGTGTTTCTGGGGGTCGTTTCAAGGACATAATTAAGGAGCTCTTGGACTTTTGATATGCTCTGAAAACGTGTGTTATTGTTTTAGGATTTATCTTGATCTCCTCTGTGTGAACACCTGGATTAATTGAGGCCGTGTGTGAATCTTTGTAAAGCCATGGCCTCCTTGGAAGGAATACATGATGAATTTGGCAGTGAACGGAACACACGTGGAAACAAATTGCTTTATTTCAGGGGGAAAAGCTACAGAAATTTCCCAGATGAGTTCCGAGTAATTATTCTGATGTAGAAACTGTTTTAGGTCTTGATTCCTGGAGGTAGAAGATAACAGAAGTAATTTTAAACATTCCTTTGGCGGATTTAAAAGCATTGCCCTTTTAAAGAAATGAGCGTCAAATTCTACCATAGGGATGACGCATAAACCTCATTTCGCTGGGAATTCTATTGAGTTGGCATGGATTGATAAGATACGGAGGGGATAAGAAATGAAACAACAACTGTCTTTATATAGTTACTTTTCCAGTTTTTGGCAATTTCTGTTCCCTAGAGGTAAAGTTTATTTATGGAGAAGCCGATTTATCGAAAGGCTAACACGTTTAGTTTGTAATAATGATGTCTTGGGACGGTTCTCAATTGTATATGCTGTCTTTAGCCGACTGGCGTCCATCTCGTCAATAAAAATGTCATACATTACAATCATTCTTATTAGTTCTATTACATTTGTTTGCTCTAGACATTCAACGTTTTCACGAGTTCATTTTATTTGCATTTCTTGATTTAGCAGTGTCAATAATTTGGTGCATTTAGGAAATTCTCTTGAAATATGAAATGGAGACTGGGACTTTCTGGAAGGGAACCATCAAAATGCCACTTTTACGTCAACAACTTCATGTTGATAATGTCAATAAAGTTAATGCTGTTCAATTTATCAGGCGTCAATCAACGATAAGTTTTTGCATTATCTCGCAAATAACAACTTCATTTAACGCGACCTTGAGTACATCGCTTCACTTCTTTGCAATAAGCTGTATACGTCACTGAGCTTGCACGTCGGGGGTTTTGCTCCTCTTGCAAGCAAGCCTGTGGAAAAACTTTGTATCCTGAATGATTCTAGGCCACAAAAACAGTTCTAATAGATTGAAATAATTGGCACCCGTGGCGTGATGGTTGGCGAGGAAGTGATAAACTCAGTCCGTAGCTGTCTCCTCAGATCGAGAAGAGGTCGCTTTATTTCTGCCTCAAGGAGCTTATTGATTTTAATAGTGGCAGAAAACACACGTCTGATTTATCTGGAGTCTTTTCCCGTTTTTTTCTAGTTCCAGCGGAATATATTTTAAATAAATATATATTTTTTAAAAATGAGAATATTTTATAAGCTTTAAAAAAGAAACAGATGGAACGGTAAGTAAAAAGAATGAAAACATTTACTATTTATTTCGAACAAATATATATAACATGATTTTATTATAAAAAGATAGCAAATAAGTAATTCACTGGGATGAGTACGAATGATATGATCAGAGCAGAGGCGCAGCTTTTATTTCTCATGAAATGGCCTCGATCTCGAGCTGCAGATCGAGGTGTCTAAGGCGGGTCCATCGAAAGACGACGTGTCGTCTGCCTTCGTTAGCCCCTACTTGGCCGTCATCATAGTCACGAATTCTGAAAAGATGTAGAAAAAGGGGGAGGTATTAAAACTGTCAAATGGATAACGGTTTTTGTTTAATAAGAAAGTCAGTGGGTGATGTCATGGAGAAGTTAATGGGGATGAGAAATAGAAGCTCACGCCGGGTTTACAATGTCACGGATGTCCACTTAGTAGGCCTACTAGTTAAAGCATTCATTAAACCAAATCGATAAGAGTTCATACTCTAAAGAATAATTAAACAGGTTGAGCTTACTTTGGAATGCTGTAGCGTGTATTTTTTAAATATAAATATACACATATTCACGCTCTATATAATCTCGAAACTAATTTCCGTTCATAGGTCAGTGAGGTTGGTGCATTTTTCAAGGCAACGGTCTGAAACATCCGCCAGTAAATTAAAGAGTGCCATCGCTGTTCGGCACTAAATAATATCAGAAACGTAATAGAAATATCTATCATTAACATTCCCGATATTAGTTCCGCAGTGACAACACACGTCTGTATGCTCATTCTAACAAAAACCATCATAACCTACACAGCAGATATTAAAACAGCGAAGTGAAACGCCTGTGATTATCTTGAACATCGGCAGTTGAATCACAGTAACTTGGTAAGACGTGTGTTTCTTCAGAACAGTGCAGCTTACATTACATGTCATCGTATCATGCCTGTAAAACTACAGAGATCAAACATGGTGTGATAAAGTGATACCAAAGCCCAGGTTTTCTTGTACTTGAAGCAAACCAATAAGGCATTCCATAACACACATGCTTTAGAGTTTATTTTCATATACCATACAACTACGGTGAGCAGCCACAATAATAATGTAGCGTGAATATAGCCATCTGTGCTTCGAGACTATCAACAAATCTGAAAGAATGCCAACACCTGCTTTTTTCATCTCCTTAATTTCCAAAAGAGATTTTCTTAGTTTTCATGAAAACATCTTGTTCCACCGTAGTTGAGTGGTAGAAGGTTTTGGAATTCGACAAAACCAATTTTCCATCGCGGACGGACCCAATTCACGCATACCTAACCATAGGCAGCGGATAGGGTTGCATGTGCATGAGCACGGAAGCGTGCACAGAGGGCGCTCTGCGATTGATGACGTGCAGCTTCACGTGGTCACGAGGTGATCTGGTGTTGATATCGAAACATGCCCAAGAGAAGACCAAAACAAATTTCTCCACGCTTCACATAGCAAAGCAAATAATCCGTTTGAATGGAAAGGTGTTGGGAGAAGTTCATCGGGAATTTAATTGGTGATTTGATGATGGTGTTAATCCACAAAATATGGGACCAGCTAGACCCATGAAATCTGAAACATTAGGAGAAAAGTATTTAACAAGTTCAATACAAAGCATGAAACTGCAGAAACGAAGACAAAATGTATAGTTGTAAAACCTAGTTAATCAAAATGCAAAAATAAACAAATGAAAAATTTTAGAAAATTTAAAAATTATTAACAGAAAGAAATATTGTCGCGTGTTTAACTCTACAAAACCAACAGCTTTAATCTACCTCTGTCGCATCTTCACGACATAATGCTATGCTGCTGCGCAAATTAGTACCGCCAATCTTTTTTCGGCGAATTTATAAATCAATATAAGTTTGAATAATTAGACATGAATGGCATATGCAATTGGACGTCATGCTTAAGAAAACAGAAAGACAAAAAGTATTTAATCGGAATTGACTCGTTTGTCTTAAAAGGGGTACTTGAGGATCATATCCTTACACGTTTAGCCGTGCACCTGAAATCGTTTGGATAGAAAACAGACTGAATTGTAAGATACAACTGCGTAACTTTAAACAAAAAAATCAGACTACGCAAGCACCCATTTCCACGAGTCCAATCCATCTCAATAACAACTAAGATGCATGCCTGATGAACCGAATGCCAAAACCAAAACGTGCTCCAAAGGAAAAAATGTATTTACCTTCGTAGTTGACCATACCGTCGCCGTCTAAGTCGGCCTCCCTGATCATTTCGTCCACCTCTTCGTCCGTTAGTTTTTCCCCTAGGTTCGTCATGACGTGCCGCAATTCTGCCGCACTGATAAACCCGTTTCCATCTTTATCGAACACCCGGAACGCTTCCCTCAACTCTTCTTCACTGTCTGAGTCTTTCATTTTCTTTGCCATCATTTGGAGGAATTCCTCGAAATCTATCGTCCCGTTACCTGGAAAATAACCGTGTTAGAATTTCAGTGTAAATCTGCCCCATGTTGAATTGTCTAAATCGTCAAATAATGACGGATGTTTTTTCTTCAAAAACCATTTGCATTAAATTAGGGTAATTCTGTGATTTGCCTGAAATTTTAAGATTTCCGCAACTTTTGTAATCATAACGTGTCACAAAGTGTGTATGCGTGTTCACATATATGTATATATGACAAATGTGTTGAGTATTTAATATGTATTAAAAGATGTGTAGCATTTTATAAAGACTTTAAGATGATCATCACTCATCCCATCCCTTTTGATCTGTGAAATTACTTTTATAAGCAACAATACTTGATGCATAGTCTCCTAATGTTATTTGACAGTGCGCCACGAGCTTTCACGTTTGGTTTCTGTTTTCATTCCTGGGGAATAGACATAATGGAGTGATGTACATGGCCTGATAATTTTCGAATTGTTTTTGATAGATTCAGAATTTAAGTTGCCCTGTTGACCAAACATCCCTCATTGCATACACATGATTTAACTATAACCCTGTTTCGATGATTTTCGATTTGCGAAACGTTATATTACAACATCGAGAATATATACAGCATTACTCTGCAGAAAAAATTATGGGTTCGTGAAAAATGGCATAAAAGATTTATTAAACGGCGATCTTTTTCTTTGTGGAATGATTTTTTGAAAACCAGGCAGTAAAAGCTTTCAAATGTAAGCCGAAAGTTTCAATGGGAATAATTCCTCAGCTCTACGAAGGCTTCTATCAAACAGAAATTAACCAGAATAAACATTTTCTAGTAATTGGGTTATTTAACCTGTAAAATAAACAAAATTTTTGAGTTTGTCCTATATATATATATATATATCTCATGTAACATGGTTGTTGGGAAATAAATTACACGCAAAAAAGTCTCAGAAGTTACAAAAGCCGATTGACCTTATTTTTGTATTTCGACTTCAGCCTTGAATAGAAGCCCTACAGATGACGTCAGAAAGCATAAAGTAAAAAGAAAATATGATAGCACGGGTATCGCGCATTTGTATCCAGTGCACGGGCACTTAAGCTCAGCAGACAGCCCCTGGTGGTGCCTAGATGTGAAATATTATACATTGGTACACAAGGAGCGTGTTTGGGAGATCTACAGTGTAATTAGCCTGCGTTGGAGCAGCTTCAAAAAAACCCGCATCTGTCGTAACGGTTTAAAGAGGGCAAGCTTACCTTGATCTGTTTGCAAACTTTTTTCACAAGAGTAAACATCGTAATGTTCACCTGGCCTACAAACGCTACACGCGCTCTTGCATCAAAACGCAGCATCCTTAATTAAGATCCGTATTAACACGCAATTTACTTTTTAATCCAAATGAGCTCTATATGTCAAATTTGCTACAAAGTACCTTGGCAGACATGTTTATTAAATTACACAGTGTTCACAAATAATTTAGGATTTCATAAATAAAAGATTATGAAATATAAGATGGCGACCAAATATATAAATAAAGGTGTTATTCAGCTGTTTGTCGTTAACAAATGAGATTTACAATTTTGACAAAGAAGACCAAATCATGTGTCGAGCACGTCAACTCCCCCCCCCCTTAGAAAAAAAAAACACGAAAATCATGTTTAACAATGCAATGCGCTTTCTGCATCTGCTTGCATGTACTATAATTCGAAGATTATGTAAAACACGCTCATGTCAAAAAACTGATAATGTAAATGCTAATGTCTCATTGTTCTGCGTTTTTCTCTTGCAATTACAGTTTTGTGATATCTGCCTACAGTGTGCATTACTTTACAGAAATACAGGCCTCGCAATCGATAGCAATTGCGCAGAGATCTTGTGTACGACACATATCTGTGACCTCGTCCAATTTTCTATTTCTCCCTAGGGAATTGATAAATTGCTCACAGTTTCCTGAATTATGTTTTTTATTGCAAGATTACCTGACCTGCTTTGATTTAATACAATTAGTACATTCTCTGACTGCAATATGCCTGCTTTCCATCTAAATTTTGTAATTCTGTTTTGCAGTAATGCGAGTAACGTCTCAGTAAACCTAAATGCCACGGTACTTACACCTACGCGCGCCTCATCGCCAATTCCTCGCTCAAGTTTAGAAAGAATTTACAGTTAAAAATACTCCTTATGCAACAGATATTGATCGTGTGACTCTAAGTTTTAAAGCAAAACTATGTTATGTTGAAGGGTGTTGACCCGAAGGGGGAAGGGGGAGGGCGGAGGGCAAGCGGCTTGGATTTTGAAAGATGATTTTCCACAGAGGCTCTACACCCTGTTTCTCAGCCCCCTCCTTATAAAAATATGGTCTCATCTTACCGTCTTCGTCCACTTCGTTAATCATATCCTGTAGTTCAGCCTCTGTGGGGTTCTGTCCCAGGCTCCGCATGACCGTCCCGAGTTCGCTCGTGGTGATAGTGCCATCCCCATCCTTGTCGAAAAGGGAAAACGCCTCCTTGAATTCTGAAAGAAAATAGAAAAAAATACTTAATTGGTTAACTGCTGCAATGTGGAAATTGTTTTAATTTCCATTCCATTTTCATTACGTGTCACAGACATGTGCACAGTATTATGAGGATGTTACAGAAGCGTTTTGGTTTTCGAGTTCAAGGAAATGATTTGAAAGAAAGCTGCGACCCAATGCTGGTGGTCCTGCCGTACATCATGCCGATCAAAGACCGCGGGAGGATGCTGCATGGCCTTAGTTTAGTTCAGGTAAAAGGTTTAGTGCACCTGACAGAGACACGAAAACACCGCACACTACGCCCTTTTCTTGCTGTCAGATTACAAGTGCCGTTTTCTAGTCCAGTACACACATCCCGCGGTTCTTACCCGAGAGGAATTCGGCTCGCAGGAACGCGGGATCGGCGCTTAAATGCAATGCCATCGTGAGACTATAATGAGAAGTGCAAGACGAGACGCGCCTTTCAATATTTTACCGTCGCATTGAAGCATGTTCACTCCAGGTGAGCTCTATTTCCCGTGTAGAACCTTTAAAAATTGAGGCCTTTAAACCGAAATCCTAAACTCAAATAACCGCACACTATTGACACAACACTTTGGGCGAACGGGAATGTTGGCTCTCATAAAGAGATCATAAATATCCTTAACCATCTTGTGAGTCAGAGAAGTCTTCAAGGTTGACAACCAGCGCCATATCTCACCCAGGTTGAAAGACAGCGAGATAGAAGGACTCTAGGTAAGGAAGCGTTTGATAGAACTCTTAAACAGAAAGTCGCAATGCTTTTGTTTGCTTGCCAGCGCCTTCAACTTCACAACCTAATGTTTCTGATAACCAAGAGGAAATAACGTTTAGGGGAGTGCCATAAATCGCTAATTAATTGTAGCCTGTAAAGCAGACCGTATGGCGAAAAAGTGGAAATTAAGACTACTAACTCGGTGATATTCGTGGCAGTAGATTAAAAAATATCGGCGCCCTGTCTATGCAATCACCAGCGACATAGTCGACGCCTGCAAGGTGAAATATCTCCCTTAAGGACGCCGTACATCAGAACGGGAATAAATCGTCCAGCCGGGGTCAATTAGCAGGTCTGCGGCGATGTCCGGACGTATATAACAATGTTATGGATTTTTATATTGTACCAATGAGGACGGGTGCGCCCTTGGGTGTGATTTCATTATTAGCAGTCTTCAGCTTTTTCTTTCCACGCTGTGCAAGGTCTGGCATTTTAGTTCTTAATCAATCTTAATCGAAGGGGCACATCGCATAATTAACCTAATTTTTGTTTTACCTTAAATTCAATCTGAAGTTTTGCCACCAGAATATATGAAATATCGTTTATTATTATTATTATTTTTTTTTCTGCTGAGGATCCGGGTCCTTAGCCCACCCAAGCATTACAGATGTCGGATTTTTTTTCACGGACATATACCATCTCGGCTCTACCCTTGATGCGTTGTTTGCACATGATATAACGCGTCCTCTGACATTGTATTCGCAATCTCCGTGCGTCAATATTGCTTTGGATTAAAGCACCATATATTGTATTAATGGCGAACGCCGTTCTTTGGTGATTCACACCTCTGGATTAACAGAACAATCACCGAACAACGATTACCTGTAAGACGACCCGTTTTTGAAAAGTTGGTTGACAGGTCATCAAGGAGTGCGCTATTTTGATCCCCGGATGAAATGCTCAGTGTCATTTTTTCCTTTATAGATAAGTATGCGCCTAGAGCCCAGAAATCGGGAGACCCAGGTCTGCTTAATTCTCTAGACAGGAAGCAATACTCCATCCTGAAAATTTCAGTTCTTCATAATATTGGACGGAAAATGTGACGGGGATTCCTCGGGGACACTAATTTCCGTCTTCGAATGAAAACATCGTTTGACAGGCCTGTCAACGTAGGCTACATATCGTGCAACCGTTTTCCTTATTCCTATTGACAGATTTTCCAAAATGAACTGACATATGTCGCTCGTTATTTGGTTCGCAATTTTTCACGGTTTAAATCGCATCTTCGGTTGCCATAGGTCCTATATATCTTACTTAACGCAGAGTAACTGTCAGTACTACGCAATGCAGTCAAAACTGCCAAATTCGCTTATATCATCATTAAAGTAACGTACATGGGTCATTGATCACCGACAGGTCGCTCACTAAATATAGCCTTCTCCTAACCATCAATATTATACCTAAGTGTGAAGCTAAATTCGTAAAATGAGTGAAATTCTGACATACCCATGTCTGTGCCGTCCTATACTGGACTGTGTTTATGAGTGACATCGAGCATAGAACACTTAATATATTTGCACACAGACCCACTGTACATGAATAGCCTCTTTTCTGGGCTCACTGTAAACCCACCTGAGGTTTAATTCAGCTAAGAAAAAATAGATGAATGCCAAAACAGCCAAGCCGCAAATTGGCTTATGTAACGTGAGTTCAACTGAACTCACGCCGAGTCTGTGTTATATAATATTAGAATTTAAACCAGAAAAGAAAACCCGAAAACTCAAAGAACGTTAATCTGAGAGATGCGTATAGGCTACACTAGAGGCTATATCGCTGCCTCAGCGACAGATAATACACACAGCAGTGTCATTTAAGCATAGGCCGGAGCGCAAACGCTCAATTTAAGTAAGCTGAACTGTAACCTTGTCCACGGCAATTGCATGGCGATGACCATTTGGACCATCGAAGCTCAATAGAGGCGACGCATTACGGAAGGCATGCCGATACTCTCAGGGCGGGGAGAGAGCGTGCACGACGGCATTATGCCTGTTACAATGTATGTATACACACGAAAGTTTACCTAAAATACTAAACTTTGAATTTAAATTTCACGCATCCTTTAGTAAATCTGAGACCTTAAAAACAGGGATTCGTAAAGAATATTAAATAGGGGCTTCAAAAGAAGGCATGTTAGTAGCGTTGCACGCCGAATATAAAGTAGCCTAATAGAAAACCGAAGGCTGATCAATGAATTCCATCGTCTTTAAGAACCACGTATATATATATATATATATATATATATATATATATATATATATATATATATATATATATAAGTCGAAGGTCTAAAAGGTTGCTTATTGTTTTTACTTATTTAACACCAGGCGTATGTTGTGAGCGTCTCCGTTTTTGATAATATTTCTACACGGGTGATGACCACGCGGATGACACGGTGATGACCATGCATGCAGAGCACGAGTTGCGGTAGAACGGTCAACATTCCCACTCTATGTTTTGATAAATCAAACAGTTATTGCTGGTTTTAGAACGCCATATGAGAAAAATGCTTTCATCAGTGGCCAACCAGCTTAGAGGTTCTTAAGAAAAATCTGGTTCTTTAAAACGGCGGAACGAAGACCATTGACTACTTCAGTTTGTGAGAAACAAGTATGTATGTTTTAGTGTTGTTTCGTTTTGTCAGTTTTGACAGTTATTAAAAAAAGGCCAGGCCGTTCAGAGAATCTAAAGAAACAAATCAGGTTATTTGTTATACAAAAGAAAAATGTCACAAAGAGTGTTTACAAAAGAATATCAGCTGTTCAGCCATAGACAGCCACGTGCACCTTTCAACACACCTCTCTACTATCGGCATGTAGATTGTATATTGTATACTGATTCTAGCCTTGTTACACATTCTCGGAGTGCATTAGTGGCATTAGCTGTTTTAAAACTGAAAATAGCTACCTCTACCTGGTATTGTTTGTGCCATGAAGTTAAATATATTCTGTGTAATTTAAGAACCACAATTAAAGAACGATCTAATTTCAAATTACCGTAGGTGCAGTGACGCAAAACATGTATGGAAACAGAACATTTTTCTAAGAGAGATATTTTTGGTTTGGCCAAAAACTGACTTGATTTAGAAAAGTAATGAGATATATTAGGCGGTCAAAGTGACTGAACAGTAATTTAGAATCAAGTTATTAAATTGAAAATTGTATAAAACATCGAAACCGAGTGCAGGTACGGTTCGAGCATGCGTAATGGTTTGTAGGAGAAAATTGCTTTTTTTCGGGAAAATTTTTTGTAATGAAATCCCTGATAGGGTTCCTTTAAATGTAAATAAAGCACTTTGTGTGGGAGCCATAGTGGAGCTTTATTGTCTGTCCTTTAAGAAATTTAAAAAAAAATTGCAATGCATAAACTCTGCTGGTCAAAGTTCTTGAAATACAATATAAGGCCCCATTCCTCACTCCTCTCAGAATCTCTAAGGCCTATACAAATGCATCGACAGACTGGATTTTATTGATTGCATTATATCCGTTTAAAAGTAATGAGTTGATGTCATTTTCGCATGGCGGTTCGGAAGCGTGGCCTTTTAAATGGTTTTTACATGTTTTTAGGTGCATCGGCACCAAAATGACAGTCTTTTCAGTTTTCACCGAGGGTGAAACCTCTTAAAATATCGAAGAAGCAAATGATATGCTTTCAGTCTTTAGTTCACGCTTAAAGAAGGATGGCCCAGACCTGTTTTGGGGGGGACTTAAATTTGCAGGCACTATGTGTACTTTTGAGATAGTCCCTTACAGAATGCCGCAAGAGTTATGTATAGAATTTTCTAGCATTAATATAACCCTGTTGGAGTAAAAAATACAATTCAGAAGTACGTGCATGTATTTAGGTGTACTCGAGACGTACAGTTCAGATGATGGGCAAGAACAACTCTCTGAACACAGGGGTCGCTAATAGTCTCTTACAAAATTGTTGAATCGACTTCTTCAATTGTGTTAATACTATACTAGAGGCCCCTGTGATAGCAAAGGGTGGGCAAGAACTCGCTTGGTGCTATGGCTATCAACAAGCGACATCTGCCAAAAATAAATAAATAAATAAATAAATAATATTACTTAAAATAATGATAACCGAAGACACGTGAAACAGTCTAAGTAACGCCGCTGTCAGAGATGTAAAGATGAAACATGAGTGATATAAAGAGAAACATAAAGCCCACAAAGAAATAATTAGTCGATAACAAAAGGGATATAACCCCCTCCAATAGTAGAATGTATGATTTTGGATGTCTTTGATCCTCAATATTTCAGATTAGGCTATTATACAACGCAATGTCGCGTTTTCAATAATGGATGGCCATCTCAGATGAAAGATGAGGATATTATGATCCACATATATCTTAGACGTCCTTCGATAACCATTTGGATCGCATCATATATTTCTTCCGAATTTTGTGTCAAACTCCAGCTTTCTAGTCAGGTTGTAGAACACTTGCACTAATGGTGTGTGTGTGTGTGTGCGCGCGCGCGCGCGCGCGCGTGTGTGTGTGAGATAGAGAGAGAGAGAAAGAGAAAAGCCGAAATAATGATTTGAACTCCAAGCAAGAAAATATGTGGTAGCCCCGTGCACACACAAAATTGTCTCTAGCATATGAAGTAAGTACACAGTTAAATGTCAGCCTCTCGCAATGGATGGGAGAGAAGACTGTTAACAATGATGATAATAACGTTGTTATAGAAACAGTCTCAGTATTGCCTGACTTATTGACAAATATTAACCGACGAATATTAATAACGCTGGTGCTATTTATAAGCCTGTAAACCGAAGCACAAATATTATTTTTACTAAATTGGCAAACAATAGTCAAATTGTTGAATCATTGGGAAAATAAACGCGGTAGAATGGTACATCCATCGAATGGACTGGAATAGGGTTGTGATATCTGCATTATCTGATCAGCGACAGATTTATCTTATTTTAATTTGATTTATGTCATGTATATCGGGTGTATGGAAAGTATATGTTCTGGCTCCTACTTTTAAATCAAATATTTTGCTCATTTATGAAAGTTTGTCCACTATCTCAAAAATAGGTTTATTTAAATGCAAACACCGTTGTGAATAAGTCCAATATTTAGAATATGCTCTTATATATATTATTTAACAATTAATCATGTATATAGCCAAAGCTACATGAAATTTTGCAAAGATGAATTAAAAAATGCAGGGAACTGTAAAATGTATAAAACACACCTGAATAACAAAAATAAAAAATAATCAAAACCTTACAAAAGAAAACGATTAAACAATTTTCTTCATAAATACTTAATATACCATGTGTGCTTCATCCTTCTTTCTTAGAAGTCGTACATAATCAGAATATATTCGTAAGATGAGTATGACTGGCACTCGTACTACTCTAGCGCACCGTTTGAACTCCCACATACTGTAACTCTACCTACCTGCGATCTGTTCTTCCGTTAGGCTGTGGCCCTGTTCTATATTCTGAAAAAGGAAGAAAAACACCCATTTTGAAAAGAAAATCTCTGACCTTTTACCAAGTATGCTAGCAAGAAACACGTAAACCATCAAGTTGACACCACTGCTTCAAAAAACGCAAACCTTTCTGCACCGACTTACCCATTGAACGCATTTCTTTCCTTTTGCTGCCTGTTTATGATTATCTCTTTGCGCCTCCATCACTCAGCGCTCCAGTATGTGTGAGCATCGCGAAACATATGCTTAATCATTACTCCTCACTGTCGCTATGAATAATGAAAGAGAGGTTTTCCCCCCAGAAATCCGTCACAAATCTAAGTTTACATCATAATATCATTATCGTGTCGTTATACGTTTCCTGTGCAAATACGATATAGAGGGCGTCAGAGTCACTTAAGTAGATTTGTTTCTTGTGTTCCAAGGTGATGAACACAGATATGTCATGGACTGAGTCCAAAGCTTTTGTTGCTCAGTTTTAATGGTACAAAATGAACGTCTCTCTCTGATCTCTGGCGGAACGAACGAGGCGAAGATAGATAAGGCCCCTGATACGGATAACCGGATAACGCATGTCTTACGCACATCATACTGATACACCTTACATGGAAATGGAGTGAAGAAACGTGTACAATGTAACTAGCTCTACTCACCATGCTCCCAACAAATACTTCTGTACTGTTGTACTTCAAGTTTCTGTCAGAACTCAGGTGAAGCTTTTCTATTAATAAAGTGTCTTCTTTCCCTGATAATGCCTGTTCCTGTAAAGCCTAAGAATTTCAATCGTCTTGTAGAAAGGGGCCTTTGGGAGTAGAAAGAAATGCGTGACGGCTCCTAGTTTCCTCTGGTCATGGATTTTTCGTTCTTTTCCCAGTGAATTAAAAGGCGAGTAGTAGACTCAGTACTAGTGCACCTCTGTAAAAAGCTAGTCAATGTTAGCCGAAGGATCGAGTTACACTCTCCCATCTATCAGCCTCTGCAATGCGCCAAAATGCGGGAGAGGAAAAAGAAATGGCTCATCTACCTCGCATAGCACCTGTCTCCCTATCAGAGATTATTTTACATACCTTGACTATTGCAATTATATAACAGTGCTAGATTTTTCCGCCCCGGAAGTCGATAGACTATGGAAAGGGAGGTGATAAATAGCACAGCACAAACTGACCGCGCCAACGTCTGATCTTTTCGCGTTGAGAAACGTTTCGCAAAAATACCGAAAGGTAAACGGAAATGTGTTCCAGGGAGCTCGGCTAGAGCGTATTGACAGAATCCTGTGCAAACACCAAGACGTTTTTAGTGCGTGGTTTATACATTAATCATTACTGTCAGGACGAAAAGTACTTCATATGCCTAAAACTGAATTTAATTAACTCATAAGGCTTATAGAGGGAAAGGGGATGCTATATCTTCTTTGCATAGGAGGTGTTATCTTTACGATCACTGTAAAACATCGCTCTCAGAATATGAATTCTGAATACCCTGATTACATCCCGTGTCTAGCAGTCTGAATTTCTACGTAATCGATTTCTCCAAGAATCCGCAATATGTTAGTTCTTCACTCAATTTAGAAGCTGAGGCTGTATAATCTAATGAAAAGTAAAATTGAGAAACAAAAGTTGATTCGTATTTAACCTGTTTAATCTGTTAGTGCATTTGTACAAACAACCTGTATTTCCAGGTTTTCGAATATCTACTATTTAGGAGATATGTGAATGACATCGGTGGAAATGGGGAGGGGGGGGGCAAGTTTCACCTATAAGAACCCACGGTGATAATGACTTTATTTTATTAAATGTTAGCGGACAAAGATTGAATCTGAGACCTACAGGTCTGCTTTGCTGCCCCAGCTTATAAAAATGACATTGCCCCACTGACTTCCGATAAAAACGGTTCAGCTGATGTCTGCCTTTTTCCGTCAGACAATATGTTAAAACGAACGTTTTCGTTGGATTCATTGAAGAAGAAGCCATTAAACCGAGGCGCGAGGAAGCGGAACAACAATCAACCTTCATTTCCCATTTCTCGGAGAAATGTGCGACTTCGGATTCATCTTCAGAGTCTTGTTTAATTTCCGTAAGTTACGTTAAATGAATGTAGCATCTCCTTTTGATCTTTACTTGTATTGAGTTTGGACTTTTTATACCTAGCACGCAGCAGCCAGTGCCCAATAACGTAAACTTTCACCCAAGAAATGGTCGCTATTTTCTTTGGCACGTTGTATATCTGATAACAATTTTACCGATTAGAATCCCTAGAATCTAGAGTGAAGCGATGCGCGTTGCGTGTTCCCCGTAATACATGCAGCTAAAGACTGGACGCTGCGAAGCCAGAAGGAGCTTAATATTCTAATGCAGAAATCTAACAGAAATAAGACGCTGATGCAGTCGTTTTTATCTTTTAGGAATAGTTGCCCAGTATTCCCTGGAAATATGGTAAGTACGCGCAGTAGAAAGGTCAACTGTAAATTAGGGAGAGGTGGTTTAAATTCTATTTGTTTCGTTTTGTATAAGAATTTCGTGTGGGTATAGTTTGTACGAGTATACTTATTCATATAGTTTGGGTATGTACAGTTGGTTTGACTGACATTCTTGTGAGATACAATATATATATATCGATCAATGCATAATTGATATGCCAAGGTTTCACATTGTAGTAAAGATTGATAACTGACAAGTCACTTACCTTTACAGGCCGACGATAACTACGAGCTATCCGACGACCAAGTCCAAAGTAAGCACAGCTAACGCAATGTGGAAACTGAACTTTTTTCTTTGCGAATTTTTTACAATGACAACTTGTAAAAAGAACTCCTTTTTATTCTTCTTAGCAAATGAACCTTTAAAAAACGTATATTTCTTTATTGAACCATGATAAACGTTCATTAAATGCGTAAAACTACCTTTTGTACCAATCCTCTGACTTCCAGGAATGTCCATCATGTTGAATATAGAACGCGTTTACACTGAGATTCTATTTCTTCATGATTTGGTTATAATTAAAGAGTTTATTCATAAAATCACTGCCCCCTGCGCGCACTTACTTTACAAAAATAAAAACATGTGTTATTGCGCTTATATACCACCTGCTTATAGCCGGCATATGTACCAAACACCTGATCGGTATTACAGATATCCGTGAAGCGTTCTTTGTGTTCGACCCGGACAAGAAAGGGATAATACCGACAAAAAAGCTGGGAGATGTTATGCGAAACCTTGGCCACCAGCTTCGACCGGAAGAGCTGGGGGAACTCATCAAAATAGTTGACCAGGACTGTAAGTTTTTTTAAATTGTTTGTTGCCTCGTTCCCTTTTTCGTTTATCTACTTGTCTGTCTGTTTAATTTTTACTTACTTGTTTATATGTCTTTATTATGTTTATAATGATTCTTTTTTTATAGTTACATGTAACAGTAGGATCTTTTCTAAAATAATGCCTTGATAAATATGTTTCTGTGATAAAGCTAATCTGTAAATATATATAATTTTAATGTTTTTAAGCCAATGGCACTGTGGACTTTGACGAATTTCTCCCTCTTATGGCACAAAAGATAAAAGAGAAACAAGAGGAAGAATTCTACAAAAACCTGTTCCGAATGTTGGATAAAAAGAAGAAAGGTTTCATCACGTGCGATGACCTTCGATACATCCTGAAGGGTCTGCGAGACGAGCTGGACCTCAGCGACGAGGAGATCAACGACATGATCCAAGAGGTTGACGAAGACGGCAACAACGAAGTTAGTTTCGATGGTAAGATTCTGTTGATCTTATAATGTAAGTGATCATCTTATAATGTAAGTGATCATATTCCCTGGACAGCTCTCCGAAAGTGTTTTTATTTTCATTTTTCTGTACATGTTTATTTCGAGCTAGTTCGATTAACAGACGCCATCTTTTACTAGGGTGAATCATCATTGCTGCTGATTTCCTCTGGCTGATTTAGTCTGAAAGTCTCATCAGAATCCGGAGCGGAATCTAAAATAATCCCCTTAGCGGATTTAAAAATTGCCAAGCAAAATGAGGAAATGAAAATAGTAGACAAGGACAAAATAATATATAGGGCACAGAGATACAAAATAGACTGCATTCCCAAAAATTTTAGATCGATCTATCCCCGTGGGGAGTCTCACTAGATTAACTGTCAGCTTAGCCGGCTTAAATGTCTGTCCCGCCTAGTAAAAGCTGTAAGGGGCTAATTAACTTCCGTGCGCGCTCGGCTGACAGCAATTTAGCGTGAACCCCCAGGGAGTTAGGTCGATCCAGATGGATCGATCTAAATCTGTGGGAATGCAGTCTTAGTCTGTCTAATCTTGCTCTTGATTCTGTGTTATGTTTGAATAATAAGGGGGTAAGGGGGCACCTCTGAAGGGAGAGTCCTCATGCCAGCTGTGACCCCCTTCCCTCCCCCCAATACCTGGATACATTGATTATACTCACTGTTTGGTTTTTCAAAGCGATAAATGAACGATATCTTTTTTCAGAATTTTTCAAACTCATGACCTCCGAGTAGAAACAGCACTCAGGACGACAAGACGTATAACATTCCAAGACACCAGCAGACAATCACCCAGTGTTCATAAATGTGAACGTGGTCTCTAGCATACTATGCAACAGCGGTTGATCTACTAGCTGCTTACTACATGTAGCATTCAGATAATGGCAAACCGTGATAAATCTATTCACTTACCCAATATCCAGGTTTAGATCGAAGAAGTAGGAGCAAAGGCGTTCCTTAACCGCACTGGCTGACACAGTGTGTTAGGTGAACGTTCAGATTACGCTTGTAGCCGCCTTTGGCGCACCTTAGACGTTTTGTATCACAAAGGATTGATAAAAACATAACCACAATCAGTGCATCAAAGCTTCTGTCAGGGAAAGTGTGACAGATATCGATAAAACTTAAGACAGGGATAAGATGGCTGTTTCGCAAGAGCTTTCATCGACAAAGAAGTCGATACCGCAATGCTTAGAGAACTCTTCCGTTTGGAGATATGCAATATACAAAATAACAAATATTTATTACTCATATACATAGTTTATTACCTTTCCGTTTGTATTATATCATGTGCAACTTCTCTGTTTTCTATAAACTGTGGTGTTATGATAGGATAGGTACCGTACAATTTAATTTCATTTTCAAAATTTCTTATTTCTTCACATATTTTAAACAGCGATTTAAACATCACATTCCAGGCGCGTGGGAATAAAATTTTAAGTGTTTGTGTGTTCAAAATTAAGTACTTGAAGATGGACATCGGTTAACTTGGGTCTCGGCTCAACGAAAACTTTATAATACATATGACATAAAGAAATGGCGTGGAAATTGTAGCGGTGTGGCATGAGACCCCTTTCTTCTCATTCTTCCACTGACCTTGGTCCTATATGAACACCGCTCGCACGAAAGCTTACCTGATTTACATAATAATTAACATATTTATCTTCTTTCCGTACGGAGGCCTCGTAGTCTATAAGATCTCCCTCGAAATCGTTTCAAACCATTTCCATTTTCGCGAGAGGAATTTCTGTGTGTAGATTTTGCTATAAGAAGTATAAATTAATAGATATTGAAGGCAGTTAACCACACCAAATGTGCCAAAAAGCCGTCAGTAAAAAGCATAGATCTATGTCCTTTTGGAACATTTTATACTTTTCAACCGATAGGAAGGCCTATAATGTCGGTAATAAGACTAATTTGACCTTGGCGTTTTTGCAGAGCTTGCCTCGATTGTGTTCAATTAGTGGTCATAGGACTTTCGAGATTACAGAACTAACTTTATGGTCAAAATCTATCAACAAGTTCGTCTTTAAAATTTACAGGCAATTCTGTTTCTCTTTTGCTTTTGTTTATCCGTTTTCTTTTCTTTTTTTTTTCAAACTAAACAAAATGTATTGGGAATTTTGTTTATTGCATTTTTATACTAAAATCCAATGCCCTATCTCTTTAAGTCGACTGTAACATTTGAATTGTTTGCAAATGCAAGTTTAAGCCACGTTATGTTTATCAATTACAAAGCATTCCAAGTACTGCCAAAGTTGAAAGCAATGTTTTTGCTTTGTAAGGACCTTCATCTGACAGACTTCAGCAATGCTTTTTAAAAAATTATGCTAGTTTTGTAGTTGATAAACATTTGGACTTGATCAACCGAGTAAATGGAAACTCACAGTCACTTCAATCTAGGCTCCAGTGAACTAAGTTTGAAGCGAAATATTTTATACATTTCAACGTAATGCCTCCTTTATTTCTCATTTGTTAGCATGCATGTATGGGTTCTTGATGTGAAATGTAAAATAAATAATACACAACGTTCTCGTGGAAAATATGTAAAAATCCACACATTTATTCACCTCGACCTCTATCCGGGTCTGTACAAACGAAAGGCCTGTAAAACGTTAAATATGGATAGTCTATTGTTCCCGGATTTACAGCCATCTCTGTCTACATCCCCGTCAAAACAGACTGGTATATGTATGTGAATTCAGACAGGAGTCTTTTTCTCCAAAAAAAACTGACATCTTATATACTCTTGGACATGGCGGCAGGAGTTTCAAAAGTCAGTGGGGTCAAATCCGATAAATGCCCACCTATTGGTTTTGTTGATTTTTTTTTACAAATTCAAGCAGACGACAGGCACATGTGCGGGTCACAGAGGATACAACGGTTGTCAGTGACAGTCTAAACTAGTAGCAGGTGATGTACTGAGAAGCTGAATGTGGGTTTATGTACCAGTCATCAGTTTATAAAACTCTGGAAATGACAAATGTGAAGGCGGTTATTTGACACTGTGTAAAAGACCACATACATGCAGCACATGCAAAAAAAAAAATAAATAAATAAAATAAAATAAAATAAAAATAAAAAAAAAATAAAATGCAACGATTACATCTTAGAAAGTGATAGTGGGATTTCATCTATTGTTTTTGAGACACGCCCTTCCCCATGTGAGGCACACATGAGTGCATAGTTACGGAAACCAATGAAATAAAGTGCACAGTGAAGGACTCCTAAGTCCACATGTGATATCACCACCATGCAAGAAAACAGTGGGAATAACGTGTGCACAAACGCACTCAGCATTTGATCACCGCATTCAAGAGAGACAATTCCACTAACTCCTACGAATATATGAATTGTGTAAGTATGTGTCTATGAAAGTGTTATCCCATATAGACAGCTGCTGGGGGGAGACTATCCCGCCATGGGTCAGGAGAATGCAAAGCAGTCATCTGCGGTCCAAGAGTCATGATTGCAATCCAGGTGGTTCACTTGGTGCTTATTTGCCGGTCATCAATGCATAGAACTCTGGAAAAGACAAATGAAGAGTAATTGCAGTCCTGGTACGCTGCCTGGCCTCTTGTCGTCTTGAAGACGAGTGCTGCAACTGAAGGTGTAACTGGCGGTGGCTGTAGGGGAGGGAGGGGGGGGAAGGAGGAGGAGGAGGATGGAAGGAAGGGGGTATAGCTCTCCGGGCTAGCCTGTCAGAATCCTGTAGAAAGGTGTACTATACGCGCCTGGAAATGTCCTTATATTTTGTCTAAATATCTTGCAAAGCTTTTCATATCTTTCCCAATTTACAAAGAAAAGCACCTGGTGTCGATATTTTTTCAAATAAAATTATTTAAATTTCAGGAAAACATAACAGTTAAAATTGATCATTATTTGTTAAAATACTGTTAAAAACTAAGTTAAATGGCACAAAAGATTGATTGCAAGTAAAGAAACAGGTCGGATATTAATTCCTCAGTACCAAGATTCCTTCTTTTTTCACGAGAAAAAATTAGATTTGGTGCGAAAATCCTGCACAGAATACCTTTAAATTCCGGTAATATTAGGTCAGATAATCGAGTTGTAGATGGATTGTAGATGAATCTACATGTGAAGGGTGATGATATAATTTAACGTACTTTTGTACAGGTAAAGTTTTTATAGGATGAGAATAAGGTCACTGCTGGAATTTGGCTGGAAACAAATGAAAGGAAATTGCTCGAGATGATCATGCAGGTCGAAATTTTAACATCAGGGCTAAGCGCATGTCCTAATATACAAACACACGGAAATTACTGCAGCGGTCTGGAAACTAATTTATACGACGTTAGACAGAAATGGCACCGGTGAGTACGTGGGGTGCGTGTTGCGTGCCCTAGCACGAATTGTCCGTGTTGTCACGCAGAGCATGGGGTAAAATGCAATGGAAGGCAGTAGGCAGCATGCAGATTTTACATAGGACGCGGTGCGTGCCAGACGGGAAGACACACGGTGACACTACGGTGTGACATGCAGAAAATAAAACATTTGGACAATCACGCCACTTGAAATACAAAAGTTTAACATTAACAAGGCAGCAAAACTGTCAAATGAACATCTATGTTTTTACATAAAAATGAACAAATTAACTCTGCGATTCACTGTTAGAGGCTATCGCAGTAATATCAGAAAAATATAGTTCCACAGAAGCATAGAACATTTTAAAATATTCCTTAAGTCGCTGTCTTATTTTAATTTTTTTTTCAGTATCCGATATTACAAATGAAAAATTTAAGTATGTGCATGTTAAATCAACATTTCAAATGTTTGGGTAAAATAAAAAGCTTATGCTATATCTACCATCGTAGTCGACTGTGCCGCTCGCATCTGTGTCTGTTTCTGCGATCATGTCCTCGACTTCGGAGTTAGTTAGGTCGTCTCCCAGGCTCTTCAGAATCCACCTCAGGTCTTCTACGGGAATAGAACCAGTTTTCTGCTTGTCCAGCACACGAAAAGCTTCCCTCAGTTCCTTTTCGTCCTCGTCCTCTATCAGCTTCCTCACGTACAGGATGAGGAATTCATCGAAGTCAATATAGCCACTACCTATACAGATATTAGAACATCAGTGTCAGCCATAAGAAAGCCGTAAGTTTGTATCGAAACGTGCATTCATATGCCGCAGTCAACAGAACACTGGATATTGAGAAGCAACATATAGGAAAACCACTGGTTACACGGAATTTTTAAGAAATAAATATAAGTTATAAAATTGAGACATTATATGATATTTCCTACATCACTTTAACTGCCTGTTTTAAATAAAGTTACATACAGTTACCTCCCAGCCGGCGCGCCCAACTGGGCACATACCAATACAGGGCTGCTGCATGTGGGTTAAGGTTTAGCCAAGGTTCCACGTGGGGCCCTTTTGTGGCAAAAGTTCTAGCCGACTGCCTATCCCGTTGAATAGAAATCATCTAGAGAACCCAAAGTCTCGCGACTTGGCATAATATCAAGCGAGACTTCGAAGGGATTTGGGAACAGTGGTGTCAGAAATAATGACAGCCTAGCAAGTGTATCAAAGACTGGGTTAACGTACCTAGGTCGTCTAACAGGGTCGATCCATCTCCGAGGGGTTTCTCGCTAAATTGCTTTCAGATTAAGGGGCATAGATGTCTGGCACGCCTACTGAAGCTNTAAAGTCTTTGAGAATATACCACGTTATTTCATTTCTAAAAGTAGGTCTTTTGGTAAGAAGTCCATGTCCGCGTAACCCCCCTTCCCATCCCCCTCACCGCTCCATTATATATCTTATAATTACCGTGCATGATCCGATGCAGGTGGTGGTAGGAGGAGGTGACAGGGTGGTCGTCCAGCTCCACGCACCACACTTATCGTTTGAAGCCGAGTTGCAAGAGTAACATTTTACTGCTTCTGTCCCTAAAATTGACAAATTTATATTTCTGATATTAGGGAAAAGGGATTGACTCTGTTCATGAACATAATGTTAACAAGCGTTCTCCTTCTTTAGTATACATTTATTATAAAAACGATGATGAAAACTAGACAGCAAAGCTAACAAACACACATACACACATCAAACAAACAAGCAACCAAAAAAGCTACTTTATTAAAAAAAGGGGAAAGAGACAAAGTCATTAAGCAATTTTGAAGTAAAATAAAAGTTTGGCCGTTAAAGGACGAACGTCACAAAAATACATGTTTTAAAAAAATCCAAAAAATTCAATAAAAAAATTATCTGAACATGTCAGTTTTTGAAAGGAACCTGCTCTATTAGCATACACAGTTTGGAACTTAATAGGCTTATCGTCAAAATAATGTAAAAAAAGAACTTTTGTTAAAATAATCCAATCATGTTGATTATCGAAAGGAACATTTCTAACCAAACAATGCTACTCAGTAAATTTAAAACAAAAATATGCTTTAGCAGCAATAGGAACTCATACTGTTTATTACAATTTAGTTTAGCTCTTATTTATATAATATATATCTTAACCATTTTCATCTATAAACTTCTTTGTATTTTATGTTGTACAGTCTATTGAACATTTTATGGATTTTAGACTTGAAATAAATATATTATTATTATTATTATTATTATTATTATTATTATTATTATTATTATTATTATAATTCGGACATTGACAGCACGTATACGACACGTACAGGCAGCGATTAGCATAATCACACAGGTGTACAGTATTTATAAACATACATGCCTGTATAATTCTTATCTTTACGACATAATATACCATTTACCAGGACCTCAGATTAATTATGTGCCCTTTTCTCCAGCGCTTGCACTTTTCCTTTTAGGAAGCAAGTTACATACAGTGTATTCCCATATTTTAATATCAGATATCAAATACAAGCATATGAAACTGTTTTGAATAAAGACATAAATTGTCCTTGGTGATCAGCATATTTTTCTCTTATTTTAAGTCTTAAAAGGATAGCTAATGTATTTTGAGATAATGCATTTGAAGATGGAACATGTATGAAAATTTCTTCAGCAAAAAAAAAAAAAAAAGTCATTAAGTTCAACCTAGTGCAATGAAAGTGGAAATTTTATATTAATTTTGGAAGTTTTTATTTATGTATTTTTTACATTTTTACACACTTTGTGAATTCTTACTAGCGCCCATGCATATTACCCTGAGTGTCAGAGCAACGTAAAAGCTAGCTTACTAAATATACCTTGTGGTGGAGTCGCTTTTACTACTATGGGTTATATATGAAATCAAGATCGAGCTGGCAATACCGGAATCTAGAACCTAGGGTAATGCATATGGACTTCCTGTGCATGTATACTTGTACCATTGTTTTGAAAATAAAATTATATCCTGTTGTTTTTTTACCCTCTATTTTTTATTGAATATAAAAGAGGTAACTGTTCATATCAGCCCAAAATGGATTCTCCTGGAGTAAATGACAATTTCCCCCTTCTTACCAATAGTTACTGGGGTACTGAATCAGTTTTGACATTCAAAATTAGTCGATCTGTACTGTAATTTTTTTATTTATTTTAATATTTCAAAAGATTATTACAGAGTACAGCCACCATGTGATTGGATGGCAAGAACAGTTTCCTAAATAATTGTGAAAACTACCATTTTGGTGGTAAAATGGAATATATATATTGTATTCCTATGGGTTCTTTACACTATTTATTCTTAAATGTGAATCTCATAAAAACAGTTGTTAACCCTTTAAAATATTCATTTAAGAAACGATGAATTTGTCTGTGCAAAATAAAGAAAAACAACTTTGTTTTATTTTAAACTTAATTTTTGGACTCAGAAATGTTCAATTACCTACATAATTTCATAAGTAACATTGAAACATATGCAAGGTACATGTACCGGTAGTAGGGCATAGAAAAAGAAGGTGCAACAATATTAAATTTACAAGTTAGATATAAAACTCACTGACACGCATTGTTTGACTATCAATTGAAAACTGTAATAATATCCAAAATAACCGGTGATAATCGCCAAAATAAAGTACATCTGCAAATGTAAACAAACGCCGAGTTGGGCCCGTCTTGGGTCATGGATGACGCAAAACCTGGATTTTGCACGATTTTTGGTACAAAAAATTCTGCAACAATTTTTTCCAAAGATGGATTTTAATGATTTTTTATACATACAATATTGATTAAAAGATACGTTATCTCTTATCCGGAATTTCCCGCACACTCCCTAGTTGAGGAATAGTGGCCAAAGTTACGATGTTGCCAAGGTCAAATTTTACCGCTCAGTGCGACTTTGACGAACGCAAGCTCACTCTAAACGACAAAATTTCATTAGAAGGCTACGTGAATATGAAATCTACATACCCCACAATCATAATATCGTATTAGACTTGCTAAGTATGCATTTATTTAAAGTATATAGCCATTTTTCGACCAAGTTTAATTTTTTACAAAATGTGAGCCCGACGTTACGTCCTGGCGCGAGAAAACGACGTTATATCACTCCGCATCGACAGTATCAGNGCAGGTGTACAGTATTTATAAACATACATGCCTGTATAATTCTTATCTTTACGACATAATATACCATTTACCAGGACCTCAGATTAATTATGTGCCCTTTTCTTCAGCTCTTGCACTTGCACACAGAGAATTGTGTCATGAATGAGTCACAAAAATACCTGTGAATATCCAGTGAAAAACCCATCTGTGACCTGGTAGAGGGTAGCCATATTTAAGTGTTTCAAATGTTGTCACTGATGACGCAATAAGAATGCTACGTTAGTAACATTCATGTGTTCGTGCCTTTGTGTTCCATTTGAAATAATATGTTCGTGCAGGACTTGGAACATTCTTAACGGTTGCAAATCACATGTATTTCTTTACTTCCCTAAGAGTTACCAACAATCATACATTGAAATGGGAAATAAGAAATAATTCGGATATTGAAATAAAAGTTAACGCGATGGTCGACCCTTTTCTTGGCATTCCATCGTGTTTCACTGGTATAACTTTCCCCAAACTCCCCTTATACCAAGGTTGCCGTTTGGCTCACAATCAAGCTTGTCTCAAGAAAAGCTGAAACATTTTCGAAGCAACAGCGTAATCCCTACCTTGAACAAGGTAAAAAGCACACGCCAAAATCAGTAGTAACACTCTTTTGTCCATCTTCGAAGTCAAATTATCAAACAGCCGTGAGATCCCACTCAAACTAGATGACACCAATATAATGCGTCGTTGATCAAGGTCTCTTTTTCTCAAATGATTCACTATGAACTACTACGCATGCTCTATACTTAGCAAGAGGCCATAAAACAAAAATAACCCAAGAACTAAACCAGTTTCGGTTCCTCTTTCATTTTCTGCGAAAACGGTTGCATTTATTAGTGTTTGCATAATACAAAATTAATTGAAGGCTGTCGTGTTATCACGTTCAATACCATCTATTTTTTTAGTGTAAAGGCCTACCGGTATTCATCTGTGATAATCGTGCAGCTGTTACAGGTTGGAGTTTAAATTTTTATAATTAGAAACAAATCAAATTGATAAAATGCCAAGAAAGTATTTACAAACAGGTTGCACAGAGGATATAAACAAGATCGTATTCAGTATATTCTTATTCATTACTTTAAATAGCACATATTTCAAGATGTAAGTGAAACAAGTCCTCTGAAATTTATATATACCAAAACTCAACTCTGCTACTGTATATTTTATAAGATGACGGTAAACATGAAGAGTCTATCTAGAACACGCACTTAAAACTTGCTTTCGTGCAAAAGAGCGTATTGTATTGGGGGGGGGGAGGCAGGGGGAGGCCCCTTTATTCATCTCCTTGCAAGACGTGATGCGAACAATTCATTTTCATTTCGACAACAATTACAATTTAAAATAAAATTGTTGTCCAAATGAAAATAACTCGATATGTCATTACCCGACTCGGGAACCTGCCTACGCGTCTGGCGACCTCCGCGCTAAGTTCACTTTAATATAGCAAAAAAAAAGGATTTTCTTGGACATGTCAACACTTCCTTCAATCACCAAGGTAAACCATCTCCAAAACTGTCCACAGAATTAAGATTCATAGATTTTTTTTAATGAGTTCTGTGTTACAGGATTTTGAGTAATTCTCGTAGATGAATACTGGCAAACTCGAGGAGATCGTAACTTTCCCAAAGGATTAGATAGGCTAAAACTTGCTGAAATTGTTGAAATTTCCAGGGGTATTATCATTACTATAAGGCGCAATGTATGACTTAAATGATGCGGACAGGGGTGGTGGCAAGAACGTGGCTATCTTCTTAACCGATCAAGATATAAAAACTTGTTGCTTATCAATAAAAAAATTATTTTAACAGCGCTATATATCCTTTACGTTATGAAAAAAGGATATGAAATGAAAAGCTGCTGAAATAAACTTTTATTGATACGCAACATGTTGCTATAACTGGGTCAGTTAAGAAGATAGCCACGTTCCTGCCACCTCACCACCCTCATCCACATCCAAGTCTGAGCGATTGCTTACGAATATTAAGATAAGAGGTTTTTGATAACTCCTACTCTGTTTGTACAGATAAAAAAAAATTCACATTGCTTTCGACACTGGGGAAACAATTTACTTCGTTTGAATTTCATCATCTGGTGCTTTCATTTTATTCAAGAATTTTTCTTAGAATGTGTTGTTGAAAACATCTTCGAGTTTTTCTTTTTAAGATTAAATTGCAATGTCCTAAAAGCATGTTAACATTTTATTTGAATCGATTCGTTGTTGTTGTTGCAGTCAACAGTCAATATTTGTCGACAGCTGATTAATTCAATAAGAACAATCAAACTGAAGTGATTGTATGCTTTCATCTTGCACAAATATTGGCTATCAATTCTCTTTTTTACCTCAAGAAATTATTGTGGGGAAAGTCTAAAGCGAAACTAACTTGAAGGTCACGTCATGCTGTCGCCTTCCCAAAAGGCATTAGTGCATATAGCCTAAGTTCCCTTATTATTTTCAAAACAAACATAAAACCAGTTTTAGCTTTTGAAAGTCTCTATGGAAATTTGAATATTTCGTGAATTGTTGATTACATCTTTAAAAATCCATTGGCAAGCCCTTGCACAAACTATTTGTAATTGAGACGTGCCCCGCTTCTGAAACTTTTCTTCTAGTTGCTATAGCAGCAGTATAGAAAAGTATACAAATTTGCATCTTTTTTCTTCAAAAATATATCGTAAAGCCTCTAGGGCTGTTTGCGAATAGAGAGAAGAATAGTTTGCATTTATTAGTTTGCAGCCTCAGGGCTGCGTCATCTCGCCTCTCTTATATTCACTGTTTACATCCGACTGTGTTGCTTCTTATCCCGATTGTTTGATTGTTAAGTTTGCGGATGATACCACCTGCGCTGGCCTTATTAGCACTTCCGAGTCTGACTATCGAAATCAAGTTTCGGCCCTTGTTTCATGGTGCTCTGAAAACGACCTCGAGATTAATGTTAAAAAGACAAAAGAAATTATTGTAGATTTTAGGAAAAACTCAACAGAAATTAGCCATCTTATGCTGAATGGTTCTGAGGTTGAAATAGTCAGACATTTCAAATTTCTTGGCATACATATTTCTGATGATCTTAAACGGCACATTAACATAGATGATATTGTCTGTAAAGCTCAGCAAAGACTTTACTTTCTACGGCGATTGAGGTCATTCTATGTTAACCAAGAACTGCTGGCAAAATTTTACCAGGCGGTGATTGAGAGTGTACTAACACAATCTTTCACCGTCTGGTACGGTAGTGCTACAGCAGAGGACAAGAATCGCCTCAATCGCGTAGTAAAAATTGCCAGGCGCATTGTAGGTAGGGACTTGCCGTCTATTGAATGTTTGTATACGAGACGAGTGCTCAAGAAAGTGAAGTCAATCATGGGTGACCCTGGTCACCCAGCGAATAGCCTTCTTATGCATATGTCAACAAGCCGACTACGGTCATTAAAAGCAACCTCCACGCGCACTAAAAATAGTTTTTATCCATCAGCAGTACGTATTTTTAATGAACAAAATGTATTTTAATAATTCCACTGTATCACACTTTATCGACAGATCATACCAATTTTCATTTTATACTTGTATAAATATGACAATAAATTATTATTATTATTATTATTATTATTAACATGTTGAGTACTCTCAACAAAAATCTGTATGCAACAATATTCTGTAACTAAGATGTTTATTTCACAAACAAATCAGATAAAAGTATTTTATAGAAGAGGTGCTGGAAATTAAACGGATACGCTTATAGTACAGTCGCTGCTCCTCTTCACCGTAATCTAGACTCCTTGTAAATGATTGAAATCTATTTAACTTGTATTTTTTAATTTTTGCAATCATTCACTTAAAAACATTGGCAAGTGCAAAATATTACTTAAGCATTAAAGCTTAGTTTTTTAATCTTCATTATCGTAAAACCTGAAATAAGNGCCTTGTTTATTTATGTCAAACCGTCTAGGAGTTTTCTTTGGTGTGTGCTGGGGGGAGGGGGGTGGGGAGAATAGAGCAAAGAGAATGACAAAAAATTACCACCCATTCTTCTCCTTGATTATGTATATGTTTGCTGGTATATTTTTATTGTATAGATGAGGCGGGTGGAAGTGCCCTGAAATGTCAGTCTAGACTGCTAACTGCAGTGGCTGTGGTCAGTGTGCCCAAAATAACTGTGATAATGAGACAGAGCTATGGAGCAGAAAACTACATGATGGTAAGGCATGTTTTGGTGGTTTTTACATTTAACTCTGTTCCAAAATTGCTTTTATCCAGAATTATGGTAAATAATATATTTTCAATATTTCTTTCTTTTAAGGACGATTTATTATGTTGACAGTAAGGCCTGAGTATTTTGTCTGTAAAAACTGTATTAATTATCTACAAAGATGAATGTCAGTTTTAAGTTCGATGAAAGTTCACAAATTTACAGAAGACACACAGAAGGAAAAGCATATCATGCTTAAAGTAAATGTTGATGTTTTTTAGGCTGGTCGTGCAATGGATCCAAACTTTCTTTTTGTGTGGCCCACGGTATCTATTGGTATACAGAATGAGGAGTACCTACTGAATAACACTATCACCCAGGTAAGCAGAATAAGACATAGTACAGTAATTCATACTTATAAATTACACAGGGAGTGCTTGGAAGGAAACATTGCTTAAACAAACATTTAAAAATTAGTTTATACATAATTGGGACGTATGTGGTAGTTTATGAATAATTGGCATTTCTGTTGGTTTTCTTGAGAAATTCTATGGTATTTTCTTTGAAAAGTGATGTTATTGCATTTATGCCTTTTTTGCCAACTATTTTAAAGGGGTACAGAGGTCTGTTAGAACTCATTCAATCTTGTACAGGGCTCACATTTACATTAGACTGTTTTTAAATGACAATTATTCAATTTGACATATTGAAAGGGAGAGATGTGATTTCTTTTCACCAGATTGTTATAATTCTGGCTCAATTATTTTACTAGTGTGATTTTTTTTCAGCAATTTGTATATATTTATGCTTGTGTGATCACAGTTATATGTGTTTATTGGTCTCTGATAAACTAAAAATTACAGCGCACCTCAATTAAGGTTGGCTTTTACTTAAATAATTCACATATTTACTTATCAGTTTGATACTTTATACTCTAGTTGCCAGCAGCAGATTTTACCAAAGAGCAGGAGGCATCAGTAAAGGAAAAGGTCCTCTCCAAAATGTCAGCATTATATTCATCATCCAGATTATGGGATGATGGAGTCATTTTACCTCAGAACTCAAGAAAGGTGATCACTCTTTGCTACACTCTTCAAGATGTTGAAAACAAATCCTTTGGGCATCTCATTAAAATGTTACCTTTGAAGATGATCAATTTAAACAAGAAAATACATTCCTGCAATGCATTTTGATACTGATACTTATTTTTAAAACAACTACATGTATAGGTAAATAATAAAGAAAGATTTATTTTTATCTTTGGTGTTTGTTTGGATTGTTTATGCTTTGTACATGTACGACTTCAGATAAGGAGTCCAGTATCTTTTAAACAGATATCTTACATAACTGCATACATTTTATTATTTCTTTCTGTTTTATGTTACAGGTACTGGGACAGTGCTTGGACATTGTCAGTGGACCACTTCCTCCTTCCAGTGAAGCTACAGAACCAATGTTCAGGATGTAGTCGTGAAGACGCCCATTTTACAAAAATAATAATAATAAAAATAATAAATAAAAATAAAAGAATACACTCAGGAGATTTGATTTGATAAAAACAACTTACAGATATGAAACCATATGCAACTTTGTATGCATTTGTAAATAAACCTTGGGATTCAGTAAGAATCCAACGTAAATTTTTTCTTTACATAGTGACATTTTAATTTCCAGTATGTTAACATACAGTATTCATGAATTGTGTCAGCAGCTGATTTAATTTATGTAAATGATATATAGTTGACAAGTAACTCTTTGAAATTAAACAATCTATGAGTATCACTGAGCCAACTATGAGCTATTATCTTATGTGCTTCAAAGAAAATTAGGAAGTTATAGACTGAGCAAGACTTTTGCTTCATATCTCAGTTACTTACAGTATGTATTTTCAAACTGGTAAGCAAAATGGTTTTTATTGTTCCACAAAATTAGAAGAAACACTTATTTTTTTGATAAAAAGTATATGGTATTGACATTAATATAAATTTTCATCAGTTGTAATATTCATAGAATAGGAACAGTGGCTCATACTCTCAAGAATGGATACAGAGGCTCATAATTTCAAGAATGGGTGCAAAAGCTCATTTTAGAGATGATAATGTATTATTCATCAGGGATGATTGGATAAAGTATTTTGAATTAATGCAATAAAATCTTTAGTGTAAGCATCATCTTTTGCAACTATAATCTACTAGTATTAGTACATGTACCTGTAAATTAAGTAATTGTGGAAATGTAATGTTAGTTTTCTTTTCTGGCATTCTTAACAATTTTTTTATAATTCTGCCTTCTTGGGTTAAAAATCTGATACACCTTACACCGTCCAATGAGTTATTGTAAATATACATTTCTATTACTACTTTTTTCATTGCGTGAATTTCTTGTATTTTCACTTTACACGCCTCGGGATAATAGTCTAACAAAGACTACATGTACATGTACTGAGTACTGTAGTGCACGAAGGAAGAATCAGTCACGAATATTGTTACTATTAACTGAAAATAAAGGTAATGTTACTCATGGCATGTAAATCTGGCTTATCTGCTTAAAACAAAAAAGAGGCAAAACTTTTCATGTGATTTTTCATTTTGTAGAAATAACGTCCTCCACTCTCAAAAATAAATGAAAATCATCGGAAACAAACGTACTACTACAGGCACGCGAACTACGTCAACTATACATTGTCCCTTGATTGACGGGGAAAGCCCCATTGTTAAATGCCCTTTCAATTGCCGTGTAATACTATACGAGATTAGGCTCTGTCTGTTTTGAGAAAATGCGATAGAATTGTACTTGATTTGTATGCATCTAGATCAGATTTCATGCTCTATATTTAGTGACCTAATTACGGGAATTCCCTTCCGCGTGAGCTTAGTTTCCCAGCATGCATTAGTGCATTGTGAATGGCGAAGTGAGGGAAGGAGACTGCACTTACTACTACAACTTTACAACCTGGATTCAGCTAGAAAGTGAATACCTCGCAAGAGAGCGTTAAAGCTCATACTAAACAGGCAGCATATGACAACTTTGTAACTGGTAAGTTTGTAAATAATGTGGTATCTAGGGAGTCCCCCCCATTGCAGCTACTGTATTTGTAAACTGGGTCAAACGTGTTGTGAAATTTGAGGTGTCAGTAAGAGACACGAACGCCGACTCTGTAGTTTATATACATGTCTTAAGAGTGCACAAGGCTTGCACATGATCAGGGTGTGTTTTTGGAGATTATCGGTATTCTATAGATTTAGCCGCTGTTTTTGTACTTATTGCCATTGCATCGATTACGCCAGAGGAAATCAACAAGTGTAATGTACACTGCAATACTTAGGTCATTGATAAAATGCAGTGACTAGTCCGAGCGTGCTGAAGTATGCGTCCAAAGGTTTGAAATTAATTTTCAACCTGTCTGGATCCTGGAGAAAAAACTTTTTGCAGTGTTCAGAGTGTTAGGGTTTTGTCTTATCCTTTGCCTTCACATGATGCTCTCTGTTTAAATGTAAATACTTTTCACTTCAGATAAGCCAGAAAAAATTGAAGATCTATTGTTTACGTGGAACACTATGTATAAAAATGCTCAAAACAAGTTTATCCCTCTTTTAGTCACGGAACACAGAACTAGGAAGAATTGTGATCCCCTCTCAAAATGGCAAGACAATGCTTGGGCTGCTGGTCAGTGTCGCTTTTATATATGCATGATTTTCACAGTATTTTCACAGTAGATGCCACACAAGTTATTTTAGGGTGGCTTTTTTGGCAGTCAAGTTGATGGATCTTCAGTAGTTTTCAATGCTTGATAATCACTTGACTTTTTAACAGTTTGTAAAGCATGACGGTGAAAGGTATAAGGGAAAAATTGAGAGGATCTGCACCCCAGAGTATGTTTGTATATCTTTCATACTTAGCAAAATAGTGAATATGAAAAACCAAAGGGATTATTTGATTTGTGTAATAACTAGCTATAGTCAATACTAATGAGTATAGTTATTTGCAAAAGATGCAGCTCCTGCAGATCTTGATGAACTGTTTAAATTATTTGACTTGATATTTATGACCCCATTCCCAGAGATTAGATCGATCCTACTAGATCGACCTAACCCCTGGGGGTTCATGCCAAATAGCTGTCAGCCGAGCAGGCACATAAGTTAATAACCCCCTTACAGCTTGCAGTAGGCAGGATGGACATTTAAGCCGGATTATCTGACAGTAATCTAGTGAGACTCCCCACGGATCGATCGATAGATCGATCTAAAATCTATGGGAATGCACCCTATGATATACCTGTGATGCAGATTTATGTATTTTAATTGAATTTGTTTTGAATTGTTTATTTCAGTTTTGATTCTGTTAAGGGGAGGAAGAGGTTGTGATGCATATATTAATGATTAAAAAGACAATTTGTCTCGTGCTTCAGTGCAGCGAAATGGATTCCTTCTGTTGTTTGATCTTGCCATTATAGTTGTACCTCAAACCTTTTGATGAAGAAATGAAATGCTTTTTAATGAATCAAGAGTTCATCATAACACATGACAGCCTTATTGTTGAACATTTAGTGCCTTATTATCTTGGCTGATAGAGGTGATAAGTTTCTGTTACTCTGATTTAGAGTTGCATGCAATGGGTTATTTATAAATATGTAAGAAAATTTATAGGAAGAATGTCTCCATCAAACTTAACACCATATGAGGGTCTTGATAAATGGATATTCCGATATTGCCATGGATTTTAAGTAAGTTCTAATTATCTTAAAATGTTAAAAAGTATAAATGAATGTTCTTAATAGAAAAATATAAATGGCCGGGCAGCATTTGAGTGTATTTCAAAAACTGCATTCTTTAGAAAACATTTTCATTTTTTTCATTCAATCTAGCATTCTGTATAGTATAGTCCTTATAGTCATCAGCTAAAAAGGTGTCTGAACTTCCATTATACACCTGTTTTCTTGACCCAGCTTCATACTTCACATAACCAACACAAATCCCCTGATTCAATTAATTCTTCAGTTTAGCTTTATTGTCCAGATGTGATGTATCTCACCATCGAAAACAGAATTGATGGTCTACCTCTTGTGTTCCACAGGCCTGAATTGTGCAGAGAGCATCATTAATGGTACAACCTTTATTGTTGTATTGCTTTGATGGGTTTGAGAAGCCTATCAAGATTGTATTTGCCAATATACCACCATCATAAAGTAAAATGCCTTGCAGGATCTTCACAGCTGAATGGGTTTCTATGGGCTTTTCACCAGCAAGTAATTGTCCAAAGAGGAAGGACGACTAAATGCAACCTTACTTGAATGCAATTAAATGAACTAGGGGATTGGATTGTTTCCTCTTAATAATAATGCCTCAAGACAATTTGAGACGTATTTCATGTAAGTTTTTTAAACATTCTTCATTATGTAACAAGATAAAATAGATAAAATCCATATCCCTGATAAAGAGTGTCCATTACTTTATTGTTAAACATCTTAAGAAAAATTGTAGCTCGAATCCTTTTGTACATCCATCTTGAAACGATTCTGTATGCCACACATACAGGTCAATTTAATTCTGTATCACCAAATTCCCCAAGCAGACTTTTCATAGGTGTTGAACCAAATCAAACAGGTTGGTCATAAAAGGAAATAACTATAAAATGCATGTGTATGCAGAAAGCAAATAAGGCATTCGTGTTTTGCTGTGTTTGGAGCTCTCAAGTAAATTAGATATCTAAAAGAACTAGGCTTTTAGGATTGAGAATGGTTAAGCCAAATGTTAAGGTTCATAGGAAATTGAAAAGGTGACCTAATAACATGAAGTTCAATGAATCAGTGGTCAATCAAACAGGTGCACTACCAACATGAAATTTATTGTAAAAACCAATAATGAAAGTAAAATGATTGTTTTCTTGATATAGGCAAATATTTTGATGGTTTTTGTGTCTTTTTAAAATATGAATGCCTAAATCAGCCGAACTGTTTTAAAACTTTGTAACAAAAGCTACAAAATGTACAGACCTCTGCACCTGGATTGACTGTAATAAGTATCATTGAACCATGAGAAAAACAGAATTTTACTTTCTTGTCTACCATTCAAGGTTAAATACAAAACTTCAGCTAAATTTGGACCTTCTACCATTTGTCAATCAGTCTTCATAAGGTCAAAAGTATATGGAAAGTTTTGTAAAAATAGTCTGTAAGTAACCATGGCAGCTGATGTTAACATTATGTTTCAGCTCAAATGAATATGTTTTTGAGTGAAAAGCTTGAATGATACAGAACGAGGGGAGAATTAATTGAAAAGCACTATTAACTGATTGATTGTTTAATTAATTTTTTTTTTTTTTTTTTTTTTTTTNATCAGCAGAACTGTTTTAAAACTTTGTAACAAAAGCTACAAAATGTACAGACCTCTGTACCTGGATTGACTGTAATAAGTATCATTGAACCATGAGAAAAACAGAATTTTACTTTCTTGTCTACCATTCAAGGTTAAATACAAAACTTCAGCTAAATTTGGACCTTCTACCATTTGTCAATCAGTCTTCATAAGGTCAAAAGTATATGGAAAGTTTTGTAAAAATAGTCTGTCAGTAACCATGGCAGTTGATGTTAACATTATGTTTCAGCTCAAATGAATATGTTTTTGAGTGAAAAGCTTGAATGATACAGAACAAGGGGTGAGTTAATTGAAAAGCACTATTAACTGATTGATGGTTTAATTTATTTTTTTTTGCTGAAATAGAAAAATATTATTGGTGTATTTAAAATTATTTACAAAATAAGAATAAGGCGTATTAGGTTAAAATCAAAGTAAACTGATTTACTTCTATTTTTAAATAAGGGTAAGGTTACCAAAAGTTGTATCTATAGATCCCCACACATTGCTATTTGTAATGTTGTTTCATGTGAAAATTCCATGTATTTTATTATAATTTTTCTTTGTATGTGTAGCTAGCTGTATGCATTCTCAGAAATCCTCATTAAGTCAGCATGGCCTGGCTGTAAGTGCTGATTATGAATCTTAAGAAGATTACACAAAACATTGTGGTTGGAAGATGATTTAAACAGGAAGGTGGGATCTTGACATCCTTAATTTAGCAAAAGCAGTGACATTATTTGTGTTACTTGGCCTTTATTTCCTGCTTGAAATCTATGTTAGGACTCATTCCCAATTGAAACCATAGGTCTACATAGTTCGATCCAACTCTGCGGGGACCTTCGCTGAATGCAATCAATTTAACAGATTAACACACCTTCCCCTGGCATTGAGTAGAATACAGAAAATCTTGTGATTATGCAAGAACGTTGGAAGCAAGAGAAGGCTCCTTAATCTGTTGAACTGATTGCATATAATAAGAGCCTCCACAGAGTTGAATGGATCCATGTAGACCAATAGCTTCTATGGGAATGAGACTCAAGATTTTACCCAGACCTTTCAGTTTCTAGTTGAATGTATTATTTTATATTAAATACTGGAGTAAAAATAGCCAGATTGGAAAAGATTTAATATTTGAATTTAAAAAGTCAATAAAACTAATAGTTTCTGTTATGAATGGACGTTCTTTCTTTTCTTTTTTCCTTCTTTCTTTTTTTGAAATATCATTTACTTTATTAACTAGTGAAATAAACAATAACTGTTTTGTTATTTATTAAGTATTTAGTTCTTTTTAAAACTTATAATTGCCGTATTGCTATTTATAAAAAAAGAAATCTTCGTGTCTGATATTCATTTTATGCACTGTAAAAAATAAACATTTATTATCCATTTTAATTGCAGTACTTGGCTGAATACTACAAAACATGTCTCAGAAAAGTAATAAAAAACGGCATTGAAAAAATTGAATAATCTCAATGAGCCTAAAGACCACAGCAGCTGGTGCTGCCACAAACAATCAAACACTAAACTGCAAGTTAAATGCACAGGCAGGTTAAACATTTTGTGACGACATGTTATTGGATGAAATGAAACTGCTGTAGTGAAATTTACTTCAGAAAGAAAGGAAGACAGAAATTTTAGATGTCATAAAATATGACATGTACTGTAGATGTCTGCTGTTCCAGACACTGCTGACAAAAGTTATTCTTAAATATTTCTGTGTCAAGTCACTTATCAATTTGGTGTATTTTCTTTTGTCAGATTTATTAAGTATTTGAAATCAAAATAGCATGTTGTATGCATACCAGTATGTGCTGTTCTTGAGAATACATAGTGTTAAAGCTGGTGTTATTGTTCACAGTTTGGACAGAATTTTTCAGCATTTTGTTGAATTCCTTTCTATGACAGAGTGAGAAAAGTCAATAATGTGTGATAAGTGATTTGCATTTCAAATATAACAGGATTTACAGCTCCTGTCAGAACTAATCTAATTTCCTGAAAGCCTTATGAAAGTGATTTTTCAGCAGTAATCATTTTGCAACTTAGCTTCTGCATAGAGAAGCAATCTTTCATGTTCATTTCATTTAGGAAATGACTGTTTTATGATGAAAATTGAAAGGAAACTATCATCTGCACTTGTATTTAATTTAGAATCAATCCCAAAATATGTGAAGGAGAGAATAATTTTAGTTTTTCTTTGAATTCTGCTGAGTGATGACATACTGTTTATACACAAGATGCTGTTGAACTCCCCTCAGAAAATTTCCTGTAGAAATTTCCAAACAAAGTGGAACACTGCCATATGATTGAGAAGAGAGAAATCTTGCCAACGGCTGCTTCCTTTGCTGCACTGCATACTCCCTCTCTTTCTCTGTAAAATGCCAGGCTTGATAATGGAAGAGGATTTTTGATAAAAAGTGCCCCAGAAGCAGGTATTATCTCCAAATCTTCCCATGATGTGCGCTGAACATAAACAGCTCAGTGGTGTCCCAGATGTTATAGTCTTCTTAACGCCTTTTTGCACAGGAGGCTCCCCAAAGTATAGGCTGTAGTAAGTTACTTGGTGAAACTCCTGCCCTGCTTCTGAGTTGAGGTTTAGGCTTCCCCTTAAAAAAAAAACAAGGAGTAGAAAAAAAGGACCTCATGCAGGTAAAGAAGGCAAAGCACATCACATTCCTAACTAGTGAATTGTGACCTTGCCTCAAGCGACTGTTAATGTTGCCATAGCAACAAGTTTTAAGGGAGGTGCTTTCTGTGCCACTTCATCATCACTGCGGCAGTGTTGACTGTTGAACCTGCAGCAAATGAGAAACCCACAGGGACAGAGCGCATTGTGTTTCAAAGTTGTGAAATAGGAGCAGGGAAAGGGCAGCAGTGCTTGCTAACAACAAACATCCTGGTGTCTATCTGCTAGACCAGGTGAGATGGGGGAAGGCTAGAGTGAGCACTGTTTAATTAGTTTAGTGCCCACTATGATGAGATGTAGGTTTTTGGCTGCAACATAATACTGGTGGAGCTAGATTCACCACAGGGGAATAACTTCAATCTGTTGTCTAGAAAAATGGGTAGGGGAACTCGCCATTGTAAGGGCTACTGTTCTTTAAGGTCAGCTGTGTTAATGAATTATATTCTAGCACAGTGGTGACTTGTTAAGATTGGGTGGCATTTTACACAGGGTTCTTGACTGCACCTGGTGCATATGTGTACCTGTTGAGTTTTGTTTTAGTTCAACAGGTCAGGGTGGATATTTCTTTCAGATGGGTCAGTGGAAAGAGTAAGTACAAAGTTATTGTCTTATTAACAGCTCTTACTACCATTATGTGTTCAGAAGTGTTTAGTAGGGATAAATGTGGATATTGAAAAAGGTGTTTACAGTTAGGTATTAAGTGGGGAATTAACTGAATGGAAATCTCAAAATTGTTTAAAATGATGGCTTTTCAGGACTTAAAATCCATACCTCTTGTGTCTGCTTTTATCATTCATGGGACAATATAAGAAAACCAAAAGAAAGTTTTTTCTTTGGCATCAGAATGATTGCTAAAAGGCTTTTAATTGACTGTTAATGTATGTTGCGCCTGAACCATGTGCAGTTGCTAGGCAGACTGGAAAGCACATGGTAGACCCGGAGTTGGATCCAATATCACAACAGAAATTCTAGACGGCCATGATAGGTTTACAAGATGGCTGCCAGAAAGGTGTACATCTGGGCCAAGAGGCAGAACCTTGGCTGGTCTTAACATGTTCTGAACTAGTTCAATATCCCATTTATTTTGATGAACATGGGTGTTCTGAGAGGCACAAAAAGTTAAGGTGCTTGTGAATCTTGACTTTGTTGACCCTTACTGATTAACTGAGCAGCTGATGAGATTAGGGAGGCACTAGCAATGTTGGGAACCTGACTGTTCTCCTCTGTCCTTGACGTCATGGCATGAGCCGCCCTGGAACATCTGGAACGTTTTAATCATACAGTTCTTAATTGGTAACAACTTGCCTGGTGGGGCACCAATTCACTTTTTAAATATTGAAAGACAGAAAACATGGTAGATTAGGGGAAACGGGGTTTTATTGGCTTCCAAAAAGTTGCAGGCATTTTGAGGAAAGTTGTTGAAGTTTTTCAAAATGAAAATTTAGAAGCAAGACAACAAGAGTTTGTTTTCACTTATATGCCAGCAATAAATTTACTTGGCAGAGCACATGCCTAGCATTTTCTGGTTGATTGCAAATTTGTTTAGGTTTAAGCATGATTATTTTGCCATTATGTTTAATATGGTTTTAGAGGATTGGCTTAACCTGATAGTTTCAGGGATACAGCCAGGCCAGTGCCAAAGAATAATATGCCTGTGAATGGCTAAAAAGAAAATTTAGAGAAAAGTGAAAGTTTGCTTATGATAAATTGATATTCAGTAAGATGGGAACAAATGTACAAGCATGTGGTATTTTTAGTTTTTTTAAAATTACTTTTAAAAAGAAGTTATGTGCGTGTATCATAAAAAGCAATTGCTTTTGTAGAAAAGATTAACTCAAAAGTACAGGCTGATTTTTTAAGTATGACAGCAATTACCACTGAAAAAGTAATATACGGTAGACATACAGGCAGAAAATATATCATACATACTTGAGAAGAGCATTTTTCTGCATGTATATTAATACTTTTGCTGTATCTGGTGATGAGAACCACTTAACAGAAGAGGCCAAACACCTGTGATCATCATATTAAATTATAGGACAGACATTGGAGGCTTACAAGTAAACAACCATACACCTGGCTTACTTGAAGTTACGAGGTGTTTTGTGTAGTAAAAGGTGTGTGTGTAGGAAGGGAGGGGGCAGTAGTCTTCTGAGATTGTTTAGAATTTGCAGTGGATTTTTGAAAGATATAAGCTGACTTGCTCAAGTTGATGTTTTCCTGGAATTTCTCACTGTGTTTTGTAATGTAATAAAAGTCTTATCCTTTTTTGGCTTTATTGGGAAGGAAGAATGTATCCTGATTTGAAAAAAAAAATGATAATTTTTCTTGTTTTCATTTTAAAATGTACAAAATTTTCAAAAGGTGAAAGGCAAAAAGGCTTGCAGTAAATAAACAAGTTGGTATTTGCATGCATGCATTTTTTCTGTTTTTGTTTTATAGATTTACACAATGTATGGTATTGAGAAGAGTATTTTAGATAGTGCTTCATGTTAAGTTTTTGATATGAATGCTCGTCTGAAGATACTTACAATTGGTACTCTTTTTCTCCATGTTGATTTTTTTCTGATTAGATTTTTACAATTTTGTAATTTCCATTGGAGCAATCCTTTTTGAAAGGTTTGAAATCAGAGCATGAAGTGTTTGGCAAGATACAGCATTCTGAAACCACTAAATGACACTTAATAACATTTTGCAATTCATGGTCATTTTCTTTTTATAATGATGAATGCACATAAGGAAATGAGATATATTAATGTTTTACTTCATATGCCCTGAGTTTCAGAGTCTGCCAGAAACTTTTCTCTTACCAGCAAGTACTGGTAGTAACCCTGACTGGAACCATGCTGAGGTTTATCTGTAGTATAAGAAACTCAGGGTGACTTGATTCTGAGCTTGAAACAAAACAACCAGAAATGAGATTCATGTGGTCTTGATAGATTCTTTTATTTGTATTGTCAGATTCCACTTGACCAGAGCTATTAGTGCAAGAAGAACATTCTGAAGATCAGGACTGTGTACCAATATTCTGTAAGTATCCTCATAGGTTTGTATGTGTTTGTGTCTTGTTGGAAGTTTTGTCAAACCATTCAAAACAGCTGATTGCCATTTAAGGCCAACCTAAAGGTGACCTGACATCTAGAAATTGGTTCTTGATGAAGATGTCAATTGACATAAGTTGAGGAAAATATAAATAGGAACAAAAGTGTGACTGGTTCCAGATATGTTTAATGATTGTATTAGTTTTTTTTTCAGAACACCAGTATAACATTTTCAGGTTCTCAGTGGGTTGTTTCAATATTGCTATTTCACTGCTTAGTCTGGCAGCATGCTGACAGCTGAAAGAGACAACAGTAGCATGATATGGAAATGAAGTTTATATCATTATCTGTTCTGCAGTATAACTCTATTTGAGTTCTTGATATTACACTAGATAGCCACTTGTGGAAACATGTCAACTTTCTGAAAGCAATTTTTTTTACAGAAGGGCTTGTTGTTTTATGTCAGGATTGAGGGTGGGCACCTTCACCATTTCCATCTAGAACACACATCCTTCCAATTCATGGGGAAAGATTTGCCACACAGTACAATGGGTTATATAACTGTTGTTTTTGTAGTCTCTGATCTAGTGTTAAAGATTGATATGAAGCAAGTGTACATTCCCTGTAAAGCATGTCAGTCACTATGTCCAGTTTCTGATATGTACAATTTAAATAAAGTAGGGAGGTAGAGGGTATTTGACTTTTGTGCATCAGGCAATTTAGCTGATAACATTGACAGCACTTTAGCGCGAAGCCCCACAGAGATAGATCGATCCTGCAGGTATGATAGCTTTATTCTGAATGCTTCCTATATAATGGCATTAGGTTGGTTTTAGTGGCATTGGTTTGACATGTCTGTTCGCTTCCAATGCATCTTTTACTTCTATGTTCTAGTAGGGGAAAAAAGAAATTAAATAAAATTTAATTTTTCTTGACTGTTTCTAACTTTTTGACAATTATTTTCAAGATGCTGAGAACAGATAATCCAATTTTATGTAATATCATGTGACAGGCTCATATCACATATTTTTGACAACAATATTAACCAGAAAATTAATTGATAAAATTTTTCAAAAGAATATTGCAGTGACATATGCGTTATTGACTCTTTTAGAAATTCCAGTGTAAGACCAGTTATCAGCATTGTTATTTTAAACCATCAGTAATAACTATAGCATATATCTGAATTTCAAGTCAGAATGATACATTATAAATCTATTTTTGGTATATTTATCATTTAGCAAGATACATTAAGCCTTGAAACATACTGATTTAATCTTTTAAAGCAATAAAAATAAGAGAAAAATACTAGTGAAATATAACATATATGAATGGGAAGAGTCCTAGTGCCAATCCCATATCTTATGTCACAGAGGAGACTTGGGCCCAGTTTCACAAAAACTGAAGTGAAATGCTGATTTTTAACTTAAACATAAACATTATAATAAAAGATAAATCTCCAGAAGTTCTTTTGAATGAAGTTACTGTCAAATAAATTTAGGGACAATTTCAATAAATATATGATTCAAATGTTGATGAACTGCATCTGAATACTTTTCATGCAGTCAGTGAACAGGTGCCCATAGAAAAAAAGACTGCCAAGGCATGTTGTTTGCATTAAAGGCACCTTTGGATATTTCTGGAAGAATCTTGGTAAAATAAAGTCTCATACACTGAGCTCCCACACATCCGTATTAATGTTTGAGTTCATTCATTTCTACACATGATTCATATACCAAAAGATGGATGATCATCAGATTAGTTATCGTGGGTAGAAGGATCATGGAAATGGTTGAGGGACCACTCAAGCAAAGTTAACACTGCAAAGTTGAATGAATGGATTAAGCATTAGGAATTATATATATATATATATATATATATATATATATATATATATATATATATATATATATATATATATATATATATATATATATATATATATATGAGAAAAATCATTCTGATAAATTTTCTCTTTTCTTCAATTATTTATTATTGGTGTATAGATATGCACCGAGGTGTGCTTGTGTGTAAGGTTAAGATGCTGTCTTTGGCAAATGGGAAATATGTAAGTGGGGATCCTGCAGAACAAAATGTTAGCTTCAGTTGATCAGGATACCATTCAGAGTAAAATTAGATCTATACTGATAATGTTTAATCACTTTCACAGGTTCATAGTCCAACAGAGCTCTTTGCTTATTTCAGCTCATGTGGTTGCACTGGTAATTAGGAAAAGGGTAATTCAGTCATTATCTTTTGGCGGTAAGCTTTTAATTGCTAAGGTTCTTTTCAATTTCAAGTATATCATCCATTTGGCCTACAAAAAAATGTGGCTCATTGTTAAAGACATTCTATAGTTGTCTTTGAAATGTATTTTTTATTACCTGCAATACAGCCAAGCAAGTCTTTGTCATAGATATGCTTGTTTCTTTGCTTCTGTATCTGAATTTTTGCAGATGAGCAGTTCCTGCAGGCCTTGAACCCTAGGCTTGTTTTAAAGTATTAAAAGTATATAATCCAATAGTTTTGTTCTAGGAAACTGCCTTTAACTTACTATTATGAGCACTTTGTGTTCAGAACACGGGATTCCATGAATAAACAAGGTATAGAATCCATCAGTACATAGCGTGGTGGTATTGGGGGATATGGGCCTAGGTTTAAAGAGGCTGTGATGAGAAAAAAGGTGATATAGGTGATTACTGTATGAAACAATAACATTTTAAAGTCATTCCATTTGATAGATTAAGTCCTTACCCTCAGTTGCCATTATTAAGTCTCCATGTGTGATCTCCAATCTCCCAAGTTTTTTTTTTCATGACTACAGATGAAGTTTGAATGTTTCATGTCATGTACTAGTTTTTAATAACAAGACATGCTTCTTTTTGATGTAGGCTCTCACCCCTGTGCTAGTTTGGAAATCTCCTAATTGAAGTGAACCTCTTGACTGGGCCTGACCTTAACAACTGCAGGTAGATTTTATAGAGAAAGTGCTAATAAGTAGAGGCAGGTGGGAAGAAGTGGAAGTGATTTTTTTTTTGTGTGTATACTAGTAAATCAATATAGAACACCTATCTTACAATATCAAGGACATCAGGAGATCATGGATAGATTGATCATGTACTCCTTTCTTTTTCTCACCCTAATAAGTTGAACATAAAGAATGTTTTTCTAAAGTTAATGATAAGAAGGGAGGGGGTTGGTTTGGGAGAGAGGGCCCCAAAAAAAAAAAGGGGGGGGGGGAAGGTAAAAAGTATTTTGCCTGTTATAGACAGTGACAATTCCACACAATTTCAACCTTTTTGTCTTCAGGTCATGAGGAATTTTATATTAAAACATGGATTCTATAAAGAATAAGGCGGAGGGACGTGTTAATGAATGAACATACACATAATATGTAACAAAAACTTCTTTGTAAAGTTAAATTTAAAGAACATTTGACTGACTGAAATGGACAATATTACTCAGTTTTGCTTCATTTAGATTATTCATTTGAAAATGAACACAGTCAGCTGTTCTAGTATTGCGCTATATCACAGAGAACTATTTGTAAAATTTATAAATATTACATCTCGGTCTTATTTCTACAATTTGGCCTGGATTAAGATTCAGCTTAGAAATTTTCAATTTGATGTCTGAAAGGTAGTTTAAGCTGAACTTGGTCCAAAAATCTCCAATACGATTAAGTTATTTGTTTTAGAATTTTAATTAACTTATCAGGATATACTCAAATTTTATGAAACAATGACTTTCAAAATGATTTACTGTTTTTCTGGTGTCACCATCAGATTAACAGCCTCTGTATAAAGTCCAGATATCTTAAAACATTTCTATTTTGTTTGAACTGTCAACTACTCAGAGTGGAATTTGAAGTTTGACTCATAGTTTTCTTAGTTAAGTTGATCTTTTATCAGAGACAAGTACCCTGGATTTCAAAGTTCTAAACTCAAGTCTTCACTATTGCCCAATTGGCTGTAAAAAAAAAAAAAAAAAAAAAAATGGTTATCAGGTGGCTAAGGGCTCATTTCCAATGAAACTATTGGACTACATAAATTGATCCAACCCCATGGTAAAATAAAATATAGTAGTAAAACTGGTGATTACATGAGAACATAGGAAACAAGACAGGGGCCTAAAATTGTCCAGCATGGAGGCTCCTGTTTAGGTGACTCTCTGACATAGTATCTTAATAACTTAAAAGTTGTAAATGTCTCAAAGGCTATTAAAAGTTGCAAATATCTCAAAATGTACCTGCGCAGTTTGTATCACTGACATATATACCACTTAATGTGAATGGGGCCTCTAACAGTTGATGTGACTATCATTTTTGACCCATAGGTGCAGTGTGGGAACTGTTTATGTCTGAACCGAGTTTCAGATACTTAAAATTAGTTTTAAAAACAATGGTTTTACTGTAAGAGTGATTTATGAGGGTGCTTCAAATGTTGAATGTTAAAACTCTTCTTATACTAATTTTGGAGAAAAAGTTTGATAACAGTTAACATTATCTGCCATTGTTCCCCTCCGACCCATACATGGAGCAGACTACTTTGTTCAGGGATTATATAGTTTGTGGGCGTAGACAAGGGGTCCTCTTCCTGAGTTAGTTTTAAAACAGTCTTGATTAAAACTGTGCTGATGCATTATTTAAAAAAACAAAAAAAAAGGAATTTGCTGGAAAAATAGGGACTTTAGTATATTGTATACAATTGTTCTATTATGAAGAAATATGTAGGGTCCCCCCCCCCCCCTTCATCAAGTTTGGCTAATCATTTGCTAATGGGAAATTAATAAGTGCAATCTATAAATCTTAGTCATAGGTCAGATAAAATTCTTGTAGAATTATTGAACTGTAATAATTGTGTTAAAAAAAGGAATTACTAGTAGATGACATATTGGGGGGGGGGGGGGGGGTAACAGTAATGGATGTAGAGCTGCGAACCTTGCTACTTTAATACTTCCATATATTTATTAATGTTTTTGATTCAGTATTTCTTTCAGTATATTTCGCTTTATGGTGCCGGGTGTCAAGGCCCAAAATATGTATATTGCTGTTTTCACTCTTCCATGTTTACACTTTTACTGGTTTTCTGTAAATATGTAAGCTGAACCTGGCTTGTTAATCAGTGTGTATTAACAGAGTGACAAACTTCTGATTTAAAATGTACAGAGAATGCCTCACTTAAGTTGTAAATGCATTGTTTATAGTTTTGTATGGTGGCAAATCCATTTTAGTAGAGAATATCAAATGGCATATAATAGAACATAAAAACAAATGACAAAAACAGCGAAAAACAGAAAATTGTGATATTGATGCCAAATGAAAGTTCAAAATATGTGGCTATCATTTTGAAATTCATATTTTGATGGTTTGATTAATGTTTCTTCATTTGACAATTTCTTTCACAATTAGTAAATGAGTGAATGAATGAATGAATGAATGAATGAAAAAATTTATCTAGAAATTAAAAATGATCATAAAATATTTCATGGTAAGATAATCAGAATTTTCTTTGCCTTTTAAACATTCAGTCAACTTTGTGAATCCTTAAGTACAATTCTCCTTACATTTTAAACTAAAACTTATATACTGACCTTAAACTAAAACTTATTATATTATGATAGGTAGTATAATGCTAAATCAATTCAATAAAGCACTGCTTTAAGGTATTTTTTATTTGCTCAGTGGTTGACATCTCTGTGAACTTGTCCATATGGCAATTGAAGAATTTTATAGACTCTAAGTGATAGTATAAACAAAAAAATGTCAGACATAAAGGGTTACTGATGTATGGACATAATTCTAGCCAGAATAGAATCAAAACCATTAGTACTTCCCTGTGAGCTAACCTCTAGTTTCAAGGGCAATAAACCATCTCATGAGTGACTTTAAATGAGGCAGAAAAAAGTCCTCTGGCCTGGAATCCTCCTCAACAGTACCATTACTTCTCTGCCTGTGCTAATTAAATCCAAAGGTTGCTTGTTTTCAATAGACCATACAAATTTACAATCTAGTAAGTCATAAGCAATCAATATTGTTGCCTGGCAAAATGCTGAAAAGTTTAAGGTACATGAGAAAATGGGTTGATTTTGTTTAAGACTGTTCAGAATATGTAATAAAATATATAATGGGAATTGTGATATTGTTGAATGATGCGGAAGTCATCCTTAATGGACAAATTGAAAAAAGAGTGAAGATGATGACTGACAATACTGCCCCTGTGAGGAGTATAGTTTATAGGACTGATTTTAAGCTTATGGGGTAGCAGGAGACTTGGGAATATTTAAGATTATGGAAAATATGTTATTTAGATTTTGAATGTATACAGTCACTGTCTGTCTATTATGATCATCGTGGGGTGATATTTGTTGAAACTATCACAACTTTTTAAACTTCTGTTGTAAATTTACTTATGACTTTGGTTAGATATGATCAGGGGTTTGTGTAATGTTGCATTCACTTGATAACAACTTCAAAGTGCAGAAGTTATGCTGATCCCTACAGTAATGCAAGTTGATCATTGGTCAGAAAACCTCAAGAGATTGTGAACAGTGAAATACATTGATATCCCATACCTATTATTGAGGTGAAATGCCAATTTTGTCTGGCATAACCGAGCTATTTCGAACAATATATAAATAATACTGTAGCTACCTTACTTCTGATTCAAGTCTGTTTTCAATCACCACAAACACATTAGGGAAAAGGGTACTGAACATTCCAGTGTTTCATAACTTTTATATTTTAAAATCTATAAAACCACATCCCAATATATATATATATATATATATACACACACACAATGCTTCACTAGCACATTATGATCTTAAATTATGTATGACAGAGAGAGAGATTATATATATATACTTTCATCCAGTAGTTAAATGGTTTATGTTTATATATTTTTCTTTCCAACCTTTTACAGGATTGATTTTTCATATGTGGGATTTTTTTTAATCCAAAACTATGGTTAATATCCTTTTACTTTGTTAGATCTTTGGCATAATAAGTCAAGGGAAATATTGTTTTATAATTAAAATGACCTCTCAGTACATGTACTATTTTTGCCATGCTGTTATTGCTCAAATTGCTTTATTGAAAAGAGCTCAAAGCTTGTGTGAGATATGCTTTTGTAACATATTGAAGAAATGTCAACTTATTTGTGAAATGTTGTGGCAAAATGAATGTGAACATGATGTCTAAAGAAAAAAATGCCAAAAAGTCATGTAGTAATTAGGTTGAAGAAATACTTCCTGTTAGATCTACGGTTCTGACAGCCATCAAAAGTACTGCTTTTTCTTTATTATGTGATTGGGATAGGAAAAACAAGCACAATTCGGTTTACTGTAAGAATTTACTTTGGATGTTCATCCACTGTTGGGACCTACCCTTTGTTATTAGGTGTTGTGTTATGTGCTTGATAGTCCAGTTGTCTCTCTCATAGGCCCAATTGTTCGAATCCTGCAATGTTTTTTTTTCCTGTAATTTTTTTTCAGGAAATACTTCCTTGTGGCTAGAGAAGCAAAGTTATTGTGGGTACTACCTTTGAGACATGAAGTATTTTCAAGTTGTAAAATTTGTTTCTAGTCTATCCCAAACTACCCCACCTTTTTGATATTTTAGTTTACTATCAATTAATAGTTGGCCATGATTCTTCACTCTTAGAAACAGCTTCTATAACATCCAGCTAGTGACTTGAGCATTATTACAGTTGTCATGCAATGTAGAGTTGAAAAATTTGAAGTTACAGAGACAGGGAAAATCCCACAAACATGAATGAACTGTTAGAAAGTAAACCTCATTTTAACACTTATTACTGTAAAAAATTGCAGGAAAAGTCAATTCAGGGAAACTTCCTATTTGCTCTTATTATTGTTTTATCTAACTGACTAGTCTGACTTTTTTCTTAAGAATTTCTTTTGCTCTAAAACATTGCTGTCAAGACAGTTTTTCAAAAATAACCCAAGATTGCATGATGATGAATGTTGCTTGTATGTCTGCAAAGCAGGATGTTTGTGGTTATGGATATGATAATTTCTTGAGATTGTATCAGAGTATGGATTTTTTAAATTGCCAGCTCACTAAAGATGTAAAATAAACTTGACAGGTGGTCTGCATATGTTTAGTGTTACCTTGATTTTAGATGATTATTGTGAAAGGAAAGGACAAAATATCTAGCCTATTTTTGATAAATTTTTGCCTGTAATGTTATAATTTTAAAGACACATTTAAGACAATAAGAAGCCCTGCCCGTGTAAAACATTAAAGGTATGTTTAACATTAAATGTATATCATCAAACTGGTAGACAAAATTTGATATGTTGCAACATGATGAGTGTTGAAGGTTGTCACTACTAGCAGTAAATTGTGTTAAGTGAGATATTTCACATTCAGTCATCACATCTAACACATTCAGCAGGCTAAAACTCTCTGGGAAAATTGATGCATTACATGTATGCTTTCATTCTAGAAGTATGTTTTGATTGGGTTTAATTTTTTTTTTTTTTTACAGAAATTGAAAATGCTATGCCTTTTTTCATGTGAGAATTTCCGAATATATTCAAAATGAATTAATTTTTTAATTCAATTTCTACCCATCAGCAACATGAGAGTTAACTCTCAGACAGACTAGCCTAGAAGCCAAGTGAGCAAATGAAATTCAACACCATGGAGCCAGTTGCCATAGAAAACAACATGCCAATGACTATAGCAACCAGCAATATCACCCATGGCATCAGCCTCGGACATGCAGAGGGCAGCAGTGACGCTGGCAGTGTTATAAAGAGAGCGGCTTCACCGGAAACGGGGGAAGTTGGCCAAGTGAGTAAATGCTTGTAGACTTCTTCCACGCACAATACCTGTAGCTTGTTTTTTTACCATTCTTTTGCTATTATTTCACACATGAAAATTAGTTAATTAGAATTTTGTATGTTTTCTACCCGAATAGTATATTTGTTTGACTGTGAAGCATTAAAGATTGATAAAAAAATTCTGTCCTTCTTTCTGTGAGTGAAAGGGGTTGAGATAACACTATAATAACGTTATTGAACACAAGCTAATTTTTTCAACCATTCTTAATTTACAGCTAAAATGGTCAGAGGCCATGCGTACCAGACATTAAATTTAAAACAGTGACCTGGTCGCTGTACCACTTAGCAGTCAGTGAGTGATAACATCTCACATCAGTCTGATCAAGGCCTCTGACCATGTTGACCAAAAGCATTAGCTTATGTTTAATAAATTAATTATGTTGTGCTTAAACTACCCAAGCTAATGAACATTTTTGCTCATTTACCAGTTTCAAAATAAGTTTGCTCTTTCATATTGGTTATTTCCTCCTTGTTAATGTGCAATTTAAATTTCATGCTTGCCTTAGTTTACTTTGCAGAAAAAAAGTTCATGGTTACAGGGACCATGTGAAATAGTGAATGGAGTGTTGAATTATACATATGCCTTAGACTTTTTTTTTAATTTGATACACTTTATTTTAAAGTATTCATGCTTAAATAAATAGTTTGTATTACAGGAATATTTTCAGGAATATGATGAAAATAAAGAAATTATACAACTTCATTTTGTGTAAATATATCTCAAGAATTAGAAGAGGTATATGAATTAGTGAAGGGTCATTCCATGGTATTTGGTCTGCAGACCTAAATTTTTTTTAAAGATTCCTTGAAATATAATCAGAACCAGTCTCTTATTTTTTTCTCAATACAGGCCTGTCATTTATGTATTTCTTGACTGAATTTTGATCTGGTCCCTATGTTCGACCTAAAGGCGCTCCAGGCTTTACCAGGATGTGTATTTTTTTACCATCAGTTCTGATTGGGAAAAATTTGCTTCCATTCCAAAACACTTGTAACCCCATGTCCGCCTGAGGGTGGTTTATGTTAGTGGGACTTTCAGCTCGTCTGCAGTCATTAACTGACTGCTAAATTAGGAGGTTTGGGCACTTGTAAACTCTGGGGGTATTTTGCCTCCACAAGTGACTAATTTGGCTGCAGTGCTATTGAAACAATTATGGCGTGGTCTGTTAAACTTATGTTTTGGATAAAAACAATGTAGGGCATATATTCTCTGACCTTTTAATTTGGAGAAAAGTTGATTGGAGCTAACACAAGGTCTGGTTCTGAAGTACTCAGTCTGTTGTCAAATGTAAAAAAAATCCTGTCTCAGTGAGTTTTTTTTTCCACTCAGTATAGCAGTATTTCTACAAGGGAACAATTGTGCTGATAGAGGTCAGCACTTTAAACAGGAAGTTCTGGTTGTTACTTTGAAAACTGAGTCACAGATATTTTGCACCATTATCACTTAGAATTTAAAATCAGGCATCCTGGGTTCAGAGCTCATCTTATTGAAGCACAAAATCACCAAGTGTTTCATTTTAGATTTTTCTTTAACCACCAGAGCATATGTTAGCAAATATGTGTGCCCATAGCAACATGATTTTTCCATCATCTTTAAATATATTTTACTACTAGAAACTTTTCATAGTCACCATTCAGTGGGGCAGGTGACATCATGTGTAAAAGTTATTTTTGATTTAAGAACTATTTGACTTTCATCCCCTTTTTTTTCTAAAAAGTCTGACTTAATGACATTAAAGATGTTACTGAAATAATTCAAAGCATTGTTTTTCCTGGAATTATTTTTTCTTCCCAAGATTAGAATAAGTCAGAATAATGATAATTTCTAGAGTGCAATTTTTTGCAACTGATAACTTATCTAATGTTTATTTTCTAGGAATAATGGCCTGTTTTTCTTTTACAAAGTTGGCAATGTATTCAGGTTAGGGGTATTATCTTTATTATTGGTTGCTGCCATTATCTTGAAATCATTTGATAAGTTACCTAATGGCTTCTTTCTAAGAAAAGTGCTCTGTTTTCCTCTTGGCAATTTAGCAACAAATTCAGTTTAGGGGTATTATCTTCATTATTGGTTGAGTTATTATCTGGAGACCACAATAATAAAACAGTCCCATATTAATATTTGGAACTCCTGTCATTGCTCTTCTATTTTTATATGTTGATTGATTGACTGATTGATTGATTGTTGAATCTTTATATTAACTAACCCAAGATAACTTTCTATAATCAAAGTGGAGAAAGATGGAAATTTCAATCTAAGAATTTTTCAAATGTCTGAATGCATGCTGTAAGATTTGTTATGGTTTTGTCTCCCTTACTAAGAAGTCTGTTATTTTTTGTTGGGCAATGGATAGAGGGCAGCACAAGTCTCTCCAGTCTCCCAGTGTTATGGTATCTTATCAAAAAATGATGTGCCATGAAAGAGAATTGTAGACTTAATGTGTGATGGCATTTTCTATGTAATTAATTCCTCCATATTCTTCACGCTGTGTGGCAAAGTGTTGCTGCATGTGCTTATCAAATTTGTGGGCAGGGCTTATCACCTAAAGGCTTGTTTTTAGCTACATGCCTGCTAAAAAAAGAGGGAAAGTAGGTCTTGCTTGTCTATTGGTTTCATTTTAGAATTTCTGTATCTCACACAAGAAGCTTTCATGGGGTCCAAAAGAATGACCAATATTTGATTTTTCTGACTCTCATGATGATTGCCATTTACATAGAAATTTTATGACAAACCTGTAAAAAAATGGAAGTTCCTTTTCAGTATTTTGGAGAAAGCAGTGGATCTAGCGAACCCAACTTGATCGATTTTACCAGAGGTGCTTGTTACTATTTTGACTGATAATATTATCAGTATCACTAAAGCTAATATTATTTCTCTTCTCACCCACTGCCTAAAGGAATTTTTTTTTTTGCATGGAAATATTGCCTATTTAAACTTTAACAGACTCAGAAATACAATGCTTCTTATAATTAATAATTTCTTAATATTTTATTCCTTTTACTTAAATGTTTCGCATTTGATTTTTTGGGATATAAAAAAGAAAAAGAATGGGTAGCAAGGAAATGGATACAAAATATTTAATTGCTTATTATTATTATTGAGGCTAAGGTATCTCTGTCTTTCAAGTAATCATTACATAGCCAGGTCACTGGCAGGTTATTTTGTTTTTTGATTGAATTGGATTAAAACATCTTCAAAGAAATTCTCCAAGCAAGATGATGGAGATGCATGGGAAAGTAACTAATTAAACAGTTTTTGCAGTTTCATAGCTACTCTTGACATCATAGTAAATTAGCCTTTGAAAGTATGTATTATAATATATAGAATATATAACTGCTTTGTCACATTTTTTTTCAAGAATGCTTATGTGCATCTTGTGACACTAGTAAAGGTTTGTTTCAGTAATCATCAATTTAGACAGTAAACCTTTCTGACAGGTTGATAAGTTATTGATATTTCTTAATGAAATTAGTGCAATGTCAAATTCAAATGTCATAATTATATGCAGAGGCTAAGGGAGTGTACACATGTTCATTCTGGGAAATTAATGCTACGGCACAGAAAGAAAAAGTCATTTGAGGTTTCTTTGGGATTTACTTGATCTTTGTTAAGTAGTCTATTATGTTTTTTTCCAAGGTTGAGGCTATTACATGTTCCCTGAGGTGTTCAGGGCTGCTTTGTTCTGAAACCTAGTAAGATGGTGTTTTAGTTGTACTGCCCAGGTAAAACATGATGAAACAGTGGGGATCCTTTGTCATATGTGATTAAGTGTAATTTTTTTCTGAATTAAAGAAATTAAAAAGTTTTATTTTTAATGTTAATATTTAAATTAATTTACTTAAATTATTTAATTTATAGAAAGATTACTGAAAATGTTTTGCATTTTTTGAGACGGACAAATAGAAGAGCAAAAGAGAAAATGAACAGACAAATGATGGGAAAACTTGGAGCATGTTATTATTATTATTAAAAAGTTTCATCTTAGGTCTAGCCCCCTTGAAAATGTTTGCCAAAAATTACCAGGTGGTTTGTTGTAGATTAGAGCAAGATCTGGCCCCTTGGGGTAATATGCGAGATTAAAAAACACAATTAGATACTATAACAGGCAGAATACATGACCTTGTGAAAAGGAAATGTGATACGTTTTCTGTGAAGATATACATGACATTGAAATTAAAAAGAAAAAAAAAGATTGTGAGTGAGACATCTTTCATCAGAAAAATCAATAGTAAAACAGCAGGGGAATTTTTTCTCTTTTTATTACCAGTTTTCTTTTAAATTTTTTCTCTTTGATATATCTATCTTTTCATATGTTAGTGTCCATATACTCCTGGTATAAGATTCTGTGTTGCTGTGTTAAAAGTTAATTGTTGACAAAAGAACACATTTGTCTTTAAATTTTAAATTAACCATTACCAATTCGTTTGGAAAGAGAATATACTGTAAAGAGATTTTAGGTCAAAAACACTATTGTGATGTCTTCATTTTTAAAATCACTTCTTAGTATCTTCAGGTTTGCACATGTAATGAATATTAAAAAAAAACATATTCAACACTAACTTTTATTTAATGAAATTATATACTAACGTTTTCTTCCTTGGAATAAAGAAATGTTTTTGAAGACAGCTGTCTCATGCTAAAATAAACTGAATTACAAAGTTTTTTTTATAAAATATTCTTTTGGAAATTTTAAAATGATTATCATTTGGTTATTTTCCTTTCTCATTATAGTAAATAATTACTTTCGTCTCTGAATGTTTTCATAATAACAATCATATTATAACTTGTGTAATGCAAAATTATTAATAAGTCCAAAAAAGTACATTTTTTATTGGGTTCATTGGAGATAAGAAAAATCTGTTTTGTTTTTTAATTTGCATTAATTAAGATTTATGGTTAAAAATGTAATGACACTTCTTATTTTGAAGTAATGTTTTTCTCAATTTAGT